GAGGCCAGAGCCCCTGTCGATCTGAGTTGTATGGATTTTCCTTCGGTTTATATCGGAAAATTCCACTCGGCTTCCCGAGTTGTTCAAAAGCTGTGTCATAAAACCTTCCTGTGGGGGTGGACCATCTGCGTCCGTGTGTGTGTCCGTCCGTGTGTTTCGCGTGCGTGTTTGTCCGTGTTGTGGGGAGACAAAGGCGGTTGTTTCCACGGTGGGAGCACCCGGCGCATGCGCTTATTTATTCGAAGACGTGTTAATTTCCTTTGAGCCATTGCCCCCTTTATGGGTGTCATTTCCTAGCTTGGTGCCTGTGTGTGGAGATCCTCTCGGAAAGACAAAGGCGGCCGTGTTGCTCGCTTCCCATGGGTGTTGTGTTTGGTTAATTTTGAGAGCCTTCTCCGCCCTTGATTCCTCTTCTACTTTAATTCCGTACTTATTATTTGACTTCTTGTGATTATTTAATCTGATATCCCGGCTTATCTTTGTTCAGAATATAATTATCTCTTACTCCATGGTGCCTGGTTCTGTGGTTTTTTTTTTAACAAAACGATGTCCTGCTGACCCCCCCCCCCCCGCCTGCAATTCCCCCCCTCCCTTGTTCCTCTTGTGTGAATTTAGGGGAGTTTTTATTACCTTATTGCCCCCCCTTTCATGTCCTCTCTCCTTTGAAATGAGGTATGCGCGCATCTGTGGAAGTGTGGGGGCCTCTGTGGAAGTGTGGGGGCGTGTTCGTTCCCACGTGGCCGCGTCTATTAAAAAAAACGATATTATCTATGTTGGCAGAATAATTCTTTAAAAAAATTAATATTAAAAAAAAATAAAAAGGGGGCATATACACAACAGGCACATAGAGCATTTATAAAATGGTTAGTAAAACTTTAACTCATTAAACCGTTTGTAACTTTGTGTAATTGTAACATGTTGCCATCGTGAAATATACCGCTTTGAAATTTGGTCCATTATTTTGAAACACCCTGTATTATTTCAGCAAATAGTTTTGTTGCTGTCTTGGCAGTTCACCAGACACGTATATGTGTATGGTGCTTTAATCAGTCCACTGCTGGCTGAAGGCCTTCCTGCACTGTGGGTCATTGGGGTTATTGAGCCAATGTCACGCTGGTCATTGTGGATTGGTGAATGTGAGGAGCATATAAGCACAATACAACATGGCTTTTGTCTTCATTTCCCACCATGCAGCTTCGCAGCCTATATAACACACTCCACGGTGGTCGCTCATCTAAGCGATATCCAGGCCCAACCCTTTTTAGCATCTGAGCTCTGACGAGAACCGACGCATCGCAGGTGATTTGGTCATCGGGCTCAACAGACATTTGGTCGTATAATTTCTCAAGTTCTTTTAACTAAAATTTTTCAACATTCGCACGTTTTCACTCAACAAAATATGGGAAACCTACATACGTATATGTTTTTTTCCCCATGGAAATGAGTTTAACATCATTTCCAGCAAATGATGAGAGCGCCCGTTTTGTGGATTAATCATGGCAGCTCTTTGGCAGTGGCTTTTGAATCTGTGCGGTTTTAATATAAAGGGGGCAAATAAAACAAACACTAACAAAACAAAGGGACGTGGAGCTTTAATGAAATAGTGGCGACAGGAAATTATTTTTTGGGTTTGGTGTTTTGGCATTTGAGTGTACTCTTTGTGAGCCAGAGAGCTAGCAGGGTACAACACACAATACCATGTGTCTAATGCTTGACAAGCTGTGTGCTAACTTTTTTTTCATAATTATAATATTACTCTATATTTATGTGAGCCTTAATAAATACTGGCAAGGCCACTTTTGCACATGCTATTGTTCAGGTTTAAATTTTTCACAACGCCTTATTTAATTTATACGTTGGGGTGATCTCTTTCCTTTGTACCCACCTCTTCCCACGGCGTCTTGACTGCGAAATATGCATGCGTCACTCGTGCGCAGATTTTATTTTGGCACCATAGGTACAGGGAAAAACATTAGGGTTTCGATTCATCAGGGCACCGGGTAACGTGGGAATCCCGTGGCCTTCCTTCCTCGCGGACACAGGCATTGCTCAGACACATTATGTTAACGTCAAGCGGGAGCCGGGCTTGCCTGCCTCGCTCTGTTCGCATCCACGACGCGTCGTGAACTATTCGCTCGCAGCACTGTCGGTAAAGCAAACCCCCCGCTCCACTTGAAATGTTGAAGCCTTGCTTTAAAAAAAATATTTTAAGAAAATTTCTCAGTCTGAGGATTTATCACTGTCTCTTTATATTAAATGTAATAATTTGGGAAACGGTTTAAATTGTTAACAAACTCTTTCAATATTTTGTCATTGTAATTTTTTTTATGGCTTATGACTTCACCTATTTAATTAAACTAAAATATTTTACCCATGCAAGCCTCACCAATTCGGCAGTATTCTCAGAAGAATCCTCCTACATATCTTTCTTAAAATATGTTTGTTCCACGTGAGAAGACGCGAGTTCTTGGGGAAAGTTCACTCACAGGAGAAGGGATACAGGCATCGCAAACACTGCACGTGTACGTCTTAAACACACTTGCTGCATAAGTGAGCATTTCATGGACACCCATCATGGCTTGAACTGGAATTGCTGATTGAGGACCCAAATCCATGTTTGGCCAACTGACCCAGCAATCCGGTCAAATAAATAAATGAATGAAAGTGTGGTGAGCGAACCCAGGGGCACGGGTGGCGGTGGCGGCGTGCTCTCTCGAGATGCCTCGCGCGATCATGACTCGCTGTGACATGAGGGGGCCCACGGGCGGTTTAAATAATGCATTGCCCGCGCGTGAAAGGGTTACCACTGAACCGTGATTTAATTGTTCCAAGGGCCGCATGGGGGAAGGGACGACGGTAGAGATGGTGGGCCTGCTCACGGGAACGCGCGTGTCTTTCGCATAGCATCCGCTGCTTATGCGTGATCCGTGGTGTACTGTACTTACGCCTCAAAACTCAATGTTGTGGAGAAAGCAAGAGGCTTGCATTGCAAACGCGCACGTGAGTTTGTGCGTGTACTGCATGTGGACAGACTAACCGTGCCTTTGACCAAATCACCCGTAATGCACCCGTCTCGTTAGATCTCATAAGCTAATGCAAGCACTGGGTAGTGCTTGCATGTGCTACCACCATGCACAATTAACAGGTTCTTATAGGCTGCTTTAGGCCGATGTGATTGGCAGCAGAGGGCAGTGCAGCAAAATTCAATGTTGTACTGTACTACTATGCTCCTATATCTACGCTCCTAACCCACACAAGCCCAAATTGACCAGCACGGTGAAGTATGGTCATCTGACCTCACGACCAACAAGGCGATGAGAAGCGCTTATCCAGCAGGGAATTTACGAAAGTGCTGTACGTGTACTGCATGTAGGTGTGGGTGACTGAATATCCTTGTGGTTGGGGCACTTACCACTGAGCCATCTGCACAGTCGGTGGTTTGATTCCTGGAGCTCTGTAGTAATTTAAGCAGTGATTACTGAAATGCATCGACATTTAAAGTGGATTTTAAAACCCAAGTGACTTTTTCATTCCGCGAAGTCGTTGCTTGTTGTAGCCTCAGCCCAACCTTGACATTGGATTTTTTTTTTATTTCTTTCTGCTGCCAATTATATTTCAATTGCACTGTTAGGTTCATGCTGTGAGATGACAACATTTCATCTCAGAACTCTCACAGCAAGCAATGCAGGACATTGTGTGGGGAGCGGCCTGGAAAAATCATGTCGCAGAAATAGTTCTGAAGTCACTTGAACAGACCGAGTGTCGCAGTTTCAATCAAACCAAAGTGCATGTTTGTCAAAGCTAGGAAAAAAATAATAGAGAACCATTTTCATCACAGTTAGCCGAAACCTGGAATCAAACCCAGGTTACTGCTGCGTAGGTTTTCGCGTTTGTGCCGTATGGCTCTGATGTGTTGCCAAGCTGTACTGGATGTTGTTAGGCATTGGGTCAAACGTTTCGCTACATGGAACTTCTTCACGAGCTGAATTTAAAGGGAAATATCAGACGCTATGCCAAACGACACACGGTACAAAATGAAAATACACAGAAGAGCTGTCAAACCCAGGTGCTCATCGGCTGAAATATGGATTTGGCCCCCATGAGCCATACAGCTACCTCGGGCTGCACTGTGTAAATGTAGTTGGGTGATGAACAAGAGGGTCGAGTCACTGTAATTAAGTGCAGTGGAAATTGCTCAAGAAAACAAACCTGTGCTCGCTCCCTTACCTCGTGGGAGATTGTGCAATGCATGGACGGGTTTTCTGCACCCTGGCATTGCTTAAACAACCTATTGGCATGCGTGTCAATGTCACCCACCGGCCCGAGCTCAAATAATGAATGAGCAAATGAATGAATGCACAAATTGGTTCATAAATCGATGCATTAGTACATTAGAGCTTCAAGGCTAGGGCCGTTTAGAGTGCGAGTGAAGTTATTGGTTATGCTGCTGAAGTGCCTTTTGCTCTCTTCTATGACGAGTGCAGCTCCTCCCTGATGTTTAAACTGTTGCGGTTTTCAAATTCTCATGTTGCTGTTTGCTGCAGTGAAATGAAGTGGTTAATGTTATTTATTGAAGCAGGTGAGGTCCCATTAAGACTCTCAATATCTGTTTCTCCATATGTATTTTCTCTCTCCTGTTACTTTTGCTGTTGTGACCTCCATCCATCTCTTTTTGTGTGTGTGTGGTTCTCCTTCAAGTATGTTTCTCCCATCTCTCCGTGTCTCTAGTTTTTGTCGTTATTTCTTCTCCTTTTGTCTGTATACAGTCCATCTGCCTGTGTCTATCTGTTCTTCTGTATGTCTGTCTATGTATCTGTCTATTCATCCATCAGTTTATCTCTTCTCTCCTATTCTCCTCTCTCTTTGTCTTGCCTTCTGTCCTTTCTGCCCGTCTCTGTGTTTCCTCCCTTCTGTCTTCCCCCCCCCCCATCTCCCGCACCTGCTCGTTCTTAACGTGTCTCTCTTTCTCTACCCCCCCCTCCCCATAAACGCGCACGAAGCGGGCACTTTGCGGTGGTGAAGCGGTGCCGCGAGAAGACATCGGGCGAGGAGTTCGCAGCCAAGCTGATCCGGAAGAGCCGCTCGGCGCGCTCAAGTCGGCGTGGCGTGGTGCGCGAGGACATCGAGCGCGAGGTGAACGTGCTGCGGGGCCTGCGACACCCCAACGTCATCGCCCTGCACGACGTCTTCGAGAGCAAGGCCGACGTCATCCTCATCCTGGAGCTGTGAGACATCGCCCCAGTCCCGGCTTGGCCCGGCCTTGCCTTGGTGTTTTTTTTTTACCCGTCGTTCATGCCCATAAATTTCGATTTAAAGCTTTCGTGACTGCAGGGATTCATCTTCTTGGTTTTTTCGGTAAAGTCACGTAGAAGGGAAATAATAAAATAATAAAAATGAAACCCTCTGTGTCTCTCTCTCTATGCCTCTTTCTTAGATCTCTCATGCTCACATGTCCGTTGCATTGCACTCTCATGCCTTTGGATTGCACTCTCATACTCGCATGTCTTTTGGATTGCACCCGTTGGGTTGCACTCCCTCGTCGAGGAGGCCACTCTCCTCCTTTTTTTCTACAGTTACATGCTAATCTTTCACATTAACATAGCCACTTCCGTGCCCTCTAATTCTCACATTAACATCGTGCTAATCTCTCACATTAACATCACTAGCCCCGGCCACTTCTTTATGACCCTTGGGCTACACCCATTTCAAACCCTTTAAAACAGTCTGCCTCAGCAGCAGACCATGCTTTCCCACCTGATGACGGACGCTTGTGTTGCGCCCGAAACGTCATGATTTATTTTATTTTATACCTACGTGACTTTACCGAAAGACCCAAAAAGCAAAGAAAAAAAGATTCTCACACTTGCGATACACACGTCAATTTAGATCGTGCAAGAATCAATGCTTTTTTATTTTTGTGAATTGTGTGGAAATAATGTGATAAGGTGACATTTAGGCGAAGGCAGTGAATGATGCATTGGTGTCTGGTGATGAAGTCCACCCTGGGCCCTCCCTTCACTAACCCGGACTGACCAGCATGGCGAAGTACGGTCACGAAACTCCCCATGGCATGGGGAGGCATGAATTGACAAAGCTCTGTAAATTATAATAATAATATTTAAATAATATCTGCATATGTATGTAACAGTGTGTTTCAAGATGCTGTTCTAGAAAATGTTGTATTTGTAGTCCCCATTCATTCTTGTTAAGTTTGTTCATTGGCTGTGGTGGTCATTGATAGAAATAGGTCGGCATTTGCCAGGATCCTTTTCTTCAGCAAATTACCTAGAAAACAAAAATTGCCCTCGCGTTAATAACTGTAATGCGTTTAACACGTCGTTATTTTTTGCATCATTTCCCCGTGGACGTTTATTGAACTTAAAATCACATGGTAAACGGTAATGCAGTCCTTTTACTGTTTCACATCCACAGTGTGTTTGAAGGATGGTAGCTGACGTTGGGTTCATGGCAGCAAATATAGTGCTGCAATTATGACCGGCAACATAACGGCGTCACCCTAATGGATCGTCACCATAATGGATTGAAGGGGATTTTCAATTGCGTTCACATCTCGTGACTTGGTCGAGTCTTTACGATACGTGACGCAATTACGATTTACATTGTTGTCACTCGGCGGGCCAGCCTTGCCCACAGGGGATTATTGTTCAGCGACTACGCCCGCAGATGTCACAGATTTATTCTTTTCAAGGGACATCATTGTATTATGCATTCTCGTTGCCTATTTTGTTTATTGATAAAACTTATGACGCGTAACGTCATTGCTAAACGTGTCGCTGAGCAAAAATTGGACAATGAACCTTGAGGGAATGCTAAAATGTATGTATGTATTTACGTTGAACTTTCGTCCCATACGTAGCCAATCGTGCTAATTGCAGTTGCGGGGGAAGGACAACAAACTAAACACAGAAAGCAATTGTCAAGAAATTAGTTTTCACTCTAGACTTAAAAATGCATAGCTCCAGTGGCTTCCTAATCTCGGAATGAACAGCGTTCTAGTCAGCCGCATCAGTACATCTGAAAGAATTGATTTAAAAAAATACTTTTAAATGTGTTCAAGTATTTACAAGTGTCATTTTGGAAATCGGAGAGTTTTTTTTTAGGTGATGGTATGTTTGTTCTTCTCAGCGTGACGTAAAGCTTGAAATTATGGACACCCCTTTCCGTAACGCGGGGAGATAGCCATAGAAAGGTCAACCATTTCTTGAGTGGCAACGTTTCACCATGTCTAATAGAAGCTGTGTGCTAGCCAAGAAAACAGCTCAGGGTTTCTTAATTTAAATAAATAAATAGCACACGTGCATAGCTTTTTTCGGGAAATACTGTAGTTGTTGGTTGAGTTTATTGTAGGTTTGTTAATTGTTTATTTCCTTTATTTGAAACTAAGGTAGATTTAATTATCACATTTTTATTTGTGCCAGTGCATTGACAGTGATGCCAATGTCACGTCCGATGCAGATGTAATTGTGACTTTGCCACGCGCTATTAAGGACAGGGACTCCCATTGATGAGCTGAACGGAGCGCTGAATTTAAAATACGCTCATTTTACGACGCGCAATTTAGAAAAGCGGTAGCTCCTGAGCACTTTGCTATTAAAACCCAAAAGAGTTTTCGAACATAACCCACTATTAATCTGTCAAACTCAGAGGCTTTCTGTACAGAGTTGTGGCTGCCCGCCACACGAAAGCAGCTTGTACTGAAGAGCCACACACAGTGGAAGAAAATTGGAAAGTAATTTGTGCTTAAGATGAAAGTCGATCACTCCCACAAGAGCATATGCCTTCAGCCAGTGTGACAAACGGATGCTGTTCATGTCACCCTTTGTCCCTGGTACGTAGTTCTCTTCCAATTAAATTGTCCTTCCGAGCTTGCAGCTGTTTCCTGATTCGAACAGGCAAAAAAAAATGTGTCCCCAGAACTGGGTCCGTTTGTCCGAAGGAGTCTCTGATATGTGGTTTAAATGCTCACCCGCAGCATTTGACAGGTAGAGCTTGCGCACACAGTTTTAGACACTGCGCGTGTGTCTGCGTGTCTGTGTGCGCGTATGTATACTTGTGTTGGGAGCGGTAGTGCAGTGGTTAGCTCACTGCACTGCACACCCGGCGACACTGGTTCGATCCCCACTCATGGTCAACACCAGTGACAATTATCTGAAGTGGTGCAGGGCTTCCCCTAGTTCGACTCGGCCTCAATTGAGTACTTGGTGCGGTGTGTTAATATCGCTACGAGGGAGACAAAGGCAGCGTTGGTGCTGGCTATCCACCCCCTTGTGTGCCATACTGGCCCTTATAGGTGCTACTTGCTAACAGCACTTGCCCCAACAGTCTGTTAAGGCTATACTGGGGCTCTTTGTCTGTGTACACTTCTGTGCCTGCGCTTGTGCATTCGTTTACACTGCCCAGGCACACGTACAAAAATGACACTGCACGTTTCCAGTGTGTGCTCTGCTCATTCAAACCGAACAAGTGCATATAAACGCCAGCGATCCACGCCCAACTCGAGCCCAAAAGTAGTTCATTTTCTATCGGGCTAGTTTGTTTTGCAGTTTTGGTTGACTGAATATTCCTAACAAGCTGAGGCTGATGGTGCGGGCAGGCTCAGGGAAGTGTGAAAGAGCACACCAGTGAAAGAGAGGTGGGTGGGTGGGTGGGCCAGGTGTAGGGGGTTGGTGGGCCCAGTTATGTTGGTTGCTATTGAGTGTGCAGGTGGTGCAACTGCTCGCAGGCCGAAAGAGCCTAGGTGGCAGGCTACAAAATTATTTATTTATTCCTTGCACCAAGGACGTGCTAACCATGATTCAGCACTGGGTGGGCCTTGGTGGGAGGGGGGGTTAAAAGAGCACGGGATGTTGGTTAACCTTAGATTGGATTCCACCGCTGATATGTCCCTCGAGCAAACATCCCAAAACTCGGCGTTCCATCTCGGTGACGCGGGGCGCGGAGGCGATGCAGCTGTTGCCTTGGCCACGTGTGACGCGGCACACTCTGGCATCGTGTGCAACCGCCCCCTCCAATGCCATCGCGTGAGCCCAAATGCAAACGAGGCTTCTCTTGCGCACGGATCGTGGGATTTGGCGGTACGACGGAACGGTGATCGTTGCCGCCCGTGCCTCTGAGCGCGATCGTAAAACTGGGCAGATTGTGCAGTTGGCGGGGAGCGCCTGCTTAGAATGTCAAGTGCGTTGCAAGCGCGATGTTTTTCACGCGGTGGGATCTTTGTAAGATTATTGTTTCCAGCTAAAGGCAAATGTGCGGCTCTTTCAACCGATTCGATGGTGCAGGTTTTTGGAATTTTTGTTTCCCCATTTCATTTTCGTATTTCCTCATTGATGAAAACCATCAGACCGAGCCCATTTGTCTACACCACTTGTTTTAATGTAGGTCTATATGCATTCGGAATTTAATGATTCAACTTCACCAAATAGAGACATTGTAATGATTTAGGGTGACAATTAATTTGTAGAATTAATTATTTGTACTTTGTTCCACTTTACCCACTGACCCTAAATGTCATGTTGGCATATAAGTTGCATATAGTTAACATAGATCATATCTAGTAAATTCTCACACACATGATTCAGTGCATGTATCTTTGAGCGTAATAATCTATTTTAATGAAGGAAAAGATGCATCGTTACATGCCTAATATACATGTACTCTATAATATCTAATGTGTTGGACCTATAGGCATTCTATGTGCCTGCATATGACACGCACACAATCGCAGTATATATTTCCACACCCATAGTGCAGTTTTTTCTAAAGTTAACCATCGTTTTATGGGCTATCGTTGAATGGCATTGACGTAAAGCAGACTGGCTCGTGTTTTTTTTGGCTGTGGAAATGGCATCGTCGTCCAATGTAGCCTGCAAGGTTTGGAGAAAGGAAAACAAAACTGGGATTTTTTTTTCAACTTCTGTCATCTGTGAAGCCTCATTGAAAGGCTGCTTTCTCCCGCTTTGCCGAGCAATTTTGCTGGCCACTTTGTTAAATCGAGCTTCATTTGCATGTAGGGTTTGCCACCTCCTGAGCTCCATATCATGGAGAGAGAAAAAGTATCGCAATACCAGAAGAGGAACAAATATCAACGCATCGGCTTGAGTGGTGTATTATTGTTATGCGGCTGACAAAAACCAAGACCTTTAATATCCCGAGACAATCCTGGGAAAATCAGGACAGGTGACAATCATTGTTAAAGACGTGCCGTTCCTTGGCAGTCGCCTGCATGGGGTGTGTTTTTTTTCTGCTGCATCACTCGCCTGGCTGCTTTTATCACAAGATACAAAATGGAGCCGCAGGCGGCTCATTGATCAACACTGCAGTCACATGTCTGATGTCGACAGGCAGGTGCTCAGACATGCTGCATCTTGGCATCTATAAATGATTAATCATCTTCTGCCCCGGAGTAGCCCTATCAACTGTGATGTCTGCTTCTCCTGTCACCGGGAAACGTGCAGTAAAATGTTGCATCGGACTGAGGGGATTGGCAGATAAGGGAAAGGGTCGGATGTAAGCACATTTGTGTAAAAAAACAGTTGCATCATATGCAAATAGGTAGCAAGAAGCAAGTGAACATACGTGAGCTTAAGAAGACATTCCTGCATGTGAAATGGTGGGATGTGCGAACTTTGATTTAAAAATAGGCCGCATACAGATGGGTTCCTGGAATATAATTGAGCGCAAACGAGACTCTACTTTGCTCTAAATGTCAGTGAAGGTGTGCGAGGCTAACCACACATTACTGTTTTGCGAAAATGTGTTTGCGAACATGCGTTGAAAAATACCATGCACATATACTGCAATGGGGTGTGGGCGGTTAATTGGTCAGGGCGGTTTTGTGATTGGTTGGATATGCGACGTTGTACTGTGTACATATCGAAGCTCTGGTTGCGTGGTGGCTGCTGTCATCACCAGGGTGTCGGGCGGCGAGCTGTTTGACTTCCTGGCGAAGAAGGACGCCCTTAGTGAGGAGGAGGCCACCGAGTTCATCAAGCAAATCCTGGATGGCGTGCACTACCTGCACTCTAAGCACATCGCGCACTTTGACCTTAAGGTGAGGGTGCTGGAGTCAAGTGGTGGCGGGGGGGCGACACTCGGGCTATGAACTCAAGGATTTTAAGATCTTGGTGTTTGCTGCGCCCCAGGCTGGTTTTCGTCCCATTTGAAGTTACGCGTCCACGTTGCGATTGAACGTGCTTTAGAAGCAGAGAGCACATTTTATATCAATGTAATTTTTGAAACTTAAAAAAAAAAGTCAGTCGTTCTAAGCGTTGACCACAGTACAGCTCTGTGTCATGTCACTGCTGGACGAAGGCCTCCCCCATACCGTGACAGACGTGGGGGCTGTTTGATCATACCTTACCGTGGGTGGTCAGTGCAGTTTGGTTTAGAGGGAAGGGGGTGGGTCTGTACTGGTTCAGCTATCACTCTCCACTCATGTTCGCCTTATCTGCACACATTCGTTACCCGCGCAGGAATTTCTCATCTTAAACATATAAAGAAGTGTCCTGTGGATGGCAGCAGCATTGACTTGAAAAACAAGAATTTACTGAGTTACAAAATCTTATTTAGCCATGGCTTAGAATTGAACTCGGGTTTTCAGGATCGGTAAGTGCTGTGTGTTAACCAATGCCCTCCCGCGCTCAATCCCTGGGTCACAGTACCATGTACTAAAATATGTTCGCGCTGCACAGCATTATGGGAAATCCTCACAAAGTCGCAGAGGCCCTAGAGGAGCATATTATCTCGGTGGTTGTTACACGCGTCTCTCACCGCGGGAGTCACGACCTGCACGTTGAATCTAAAACGGCGCTTGCTGCCTCAAGCGATGCGGACAAACGGCGGTGGTTTACGCGCTGCACTTCGTTGAAATGTCTCAAGCGTAGAGAACTGGTGTATGGTTTTAATGGAAGCCGTTCTTTGTGGTTTCTGTTTTTTTCTTCTTGGTTCTTTCGGTAAAGTCACGTAGAAGGGAAATAATAAAATAATAAAAATAAAACATAATAAAATAAAATTCTCACGACGTTTCGGCCACAACACAAGCGGCCGTCCTCAGGTGAAGACAGAGCTGTATGAAAGACAGCGCTCCAATGAACACTGCTAAGCTTGGCGGCGTATTTTAAGCTGGGTGGGAGGAGAAGAGCGCCTTGACAAAGGAGTTTACATATCAACAGAAGAATGTAGCATTTAATAAGCTGTGTTAATGTGAGAGAATTAGCAGGATGTTCAAGTCAGAAATTAGCAAGTAACTGGGAGATTAGCATGATGTAACTGGTCACGGAAGTGGCTATGTTAAAGTCAAAGTTTACATATCAACAGAGGCATTTAGTATATTGACGCTAAAGAACTGCAACCACCCACTAATCAAGGTTTGTGTTTTGTTGTCAAAAGCCAGAGAACATCATGCTGCTCGAGTGCAATCAGCGAAATCCACGTATCAAGCTCATCGACTTCGGTCTGGCGCACATTATCGAAGAGGGGATCGAGTTCCGCAACATCTTCGGCACGCCCGAGTTCGTGGGTGCGCGCCTTGAGTCAATATGTCACAATAATCTACGAGTTCCATCTCTTTGCTTCTTTCGACATAGTTCAAAGTATCCAGTCTCTCTTTGCTTATTTGCACCTTTGTTTATCGTAGGTGTATTTGTTATCATATCCAGATAAATAAACGCATCTTCAGAGATGCTGGACAAACCCGAATGGTATTGTGTTGCATAGAGTGGTTCTCTTCTGTTCACGTGCACCACACGTGTGTCCTGTGCACCCGCCACTGCCCTACAGCTCCCGAGGTAGTGAACTACGAACCACTGGGGTTGGAAGCGGACATGTGGTGAGTGTCCTTCCCCATGTGAAACATTAACATACACCATAACGAACTTGACCACACTCCTTGTAGGACCGAGTCTTTGAGCTGCAGTGAACTAATGATTATGCCAATTAGATGTACTCATCTCACATCTATCTAGCTATTGTTCACAATTGCACCCAGTAAAAAATATGTAAAGATGCATAGATTCATCAAGTAAAACAAACTCTTTCAAGATACATCCATCGAATCACATGCATTAGAAGCGATTACTAGCATATGTTATGCCAAGACACATTTACGCTGTTGGCCCAGACAAAACTGGACATGTTTGAAGAAAATAAACAATATGAATGAGATGGCGACAAATATTTAATTGTGAACTCAAATCGTGACCCGCAAATTGTGATAATTCACGAAAGTCGCCGGGTAGGAGGACCGGTGCAATGTTGCGGGCCTACCTAATTAGGACAAAATTTGAACGCAAAGCACAAGTGAAACAATTTATCCAATACAGTACACACTCGTTTTTATGGTGTGAAGCAAATCATTTTTAAGTTTGGAACAAAATGTATTTGAAATTTTAAGTAACACACTAAGTAACACACTCCTTTTTCTTCTATTAGGAAGGTATTTAAAGATTTGAATGTAACTGGTGTTTTCATTTTTTACAGGAGTATTGGAGTCATCACGTATATATTGTGAGTAATAACATTTTATCACAATTCAGTCTAAGATCGGAAAAGCATGCCACATTTCTACAAAAACACCATGAACACGGATTAAACAAGATTGTGTCAATGTTCAATCCCCGTTTGTTACATAAATGGGCAGATACCATGGTGTCGGAGAGGAGTACAAATAGAATCCGGTTGACATTCATACTAAGATCCGGCAATCGTTTGTGGTGTCGGAATGAAAATAATCCTGTTTCTGAACAATATTTAAAGTTTGCTAAATTTCATGTTGCGGTGTTAATATTTGCGCAGCCTTGGAACGACCCCTTGCCCCCACTTGCTTTTCGAAAATCTCAAATAAAGCAAAGAGTTTCTCCACTGGTCTTGCGCGCGCACGCACGCACGTGTGTGTGTGTGTATGGAGATTTTTCTGACCCTCCTGACCTTTGAAGTAACCGCCTGGCCTTGTGTGTCCAGGCTGAGCGGCGCCTCTCCCTTCCTGGGCGATAGCAAACAAGAGACGCTCACCAACATCACCGGGGTCAAGTACGAGTTTGACGAGGAGTACTTTGATCAGACGAGCCAGCTGGCCATGGATTTCATCCTCAGGTTGCTCGTCAAGGACCCCAAGTGAGATATTTTCACCATCGACACTAACTCCAGAACCTCCCCCATTCCTGGGTTCTTTGGTTGAGTCGGAAGAACAAAGTGGACTGTCCCACTGTGGAAAGAGGTGGGGATGTGGCTGAAAGGCTTAACGGGGAACGCAAAGGTGCCTTTTGGCATTTCTGGGTATAATAATTCCCCCCCCTCCCCCCTCGAGAATTGATGAGGTACCACAATTCACGGTTGAGATTGAATTAAAAAATGTTTTTACATTGTGCTGAATGCAGCGACTTGTGTTGGTTGGCAGTGTCTCATGAACCCATTAGATGTACCATCATGTAAAGCATGTTCTGATACTTGATGTTTGTATCGCGACCTATCTAACCATGATTGTGTAACTAAGATCTGTAATGTCATCTGTACCATCACAGGACGCTCATGAAGTAGACCTTAACAGATTATTGGGCCCTTCCCACCGACATAATATAATCTATATTACGCATATGTGTGTATGTATGTTGAAATTATTTCGCACACCAACCGTGCACAACACGGCTATTGTGTGAGTACAGAGCTACGTCGATCAAATGCTGGGTGAAGGCCTACCCACACCGTGTCAGCCATGGGGGTTGTTTGACCATACTTCACCACGCTGGTCAGTGCGGGTTGGTGAATGGTGGACCACTTAAAATATCACTTGCCACTTTGGCCATGGATTGAATTTGGTCACTAGGTTCATCGGGCAATCTATTAGTATAGTGTATACTAATCATAAAAGATTACTTCTCATACTGATATCATTATAGCTGACATTGAACTGCCAGGTTAAGGTGTTAGTTGTGAGAGGTTTATGTGATCTGTCTTGCATCTGATATGGGTGCACATCGGTTTGTCCTTTTGACCGTGCTACCCTGTGCCCTGTAAGTCCAAACATCTGTTGAGAAAAGGCTTCCGTTCAGGCCGTAAAGACCAGTGAGTAGTCGGTGCAGATTGACGCAAGCATGGCTGAGTAGGCAGAATAGGCAGAATAGTTTTGGAGATAATCACTCAAACTTTAAAGCGGGCAGAGGGGCCGTGATGCGTGAGCCGCGTGAGGTTTTGACACTTGCCTTTTAAAAGGTCATAACTTGAGCAGATGTTCGTATTAGTACAGTAGAAACCCCTCTTAATGATGGTAATTGCTTCCACGAAACCGGTCGTTAAGCGAATTGCGTTAAGCAAGTATAGGAAATGCATGTTAAATGCTTAATTTGTTTCGATAGTATCGAAAAGTACCCTATTCACCCAAAACATTTACCTTATATTATTTCAACAATTGATATTAATACGTAAAAATGCTAACAACATAATAAACACATCATATTAAAAGAAACATGGTTAATCAGTGCATTAATTAACAGCCCGTCAATCAATGCATTAATTAACAGTCCGTCGTTAACAGGGAAATGGTCGGTATTGTCGTTAAGAGGGGTGCTACTGTAATTCTGTAGCTAAAGGCGAATGTCCAATTAAAAAACTGAAAAAGATTCAGTTATTCAGCACAAATAGAGAGCGTTTTTTGGATAAATGAACATACAACACAGTGCAGCACTTTCAATTAACAAATCAATTGAAGAATGTCCCAACACCACCGTGAGGCCCAATTAACTTTTTGTCAGACAAAGCAGCGTGGGCTCTTGATTCATTACGTGGTGTGTCTGGTGTGCCGCTAAGGGATTATTGAAATGCGGTAGTCGAGCATTGTGTGTGTTTGCTTCTCACTGTGGGTTTAATTTCCTTGTTTTTTTTTTCTCTTGCCTTGGTCTGGCACCAAAGCAGCCACCGTGGTCGCAACCTATGGCAGCCAGGGTTGTTATGGGTGTTGAAGCTGCGGTTTATGATGCAAATTCCACTTATTTTTCTTTGTTGTACTGTACAAGCAACCTTTAACTTTTCCTTGAAAGTGTTTATAGATCCCCTTTTATTCAAATGCGTAGTGAGGGCCATGTAGGAAAATAAATGAACCACAGTTGATAGGACAAGCATGAGCACGGGCACGTGAGCGTTTGGGACGTGGTAGATAACACTGCACGTACCACTCATGTGTCTGCTTTCTTTTATGAGAAGAAAAACTTGTAATCATAGAAATCGTAACCGGCTGTGGTCTATCCACGCTCCGTCTCCGCAGTGGTTGCGCTCTGGAGCATCTTCACTCCTTTGGCTTGCCGCTCTCATGAGTTTTTTGACCACTGCCCATCATTCCTTCTCATTCGGTCAGGATCGTATAAGTGTGATCAAATGTGTCAAATGAAGTTAGATCTCTATTTACAACCAGACGACAGCCCAAGGGAGGGCGGTGGGAAAATTGAACAAGTCGAATAACGCCGTTCAGAGCTGACTGGGCAGTTTGACGGCTGGTCGAAAACACCTTTGCCCTACGTTTTTACCGTGCCTCTGTCCTCATCCGCAGGAAGCGGATGACGGTGAAGGACTGCCTATCTCACCCGTGGATCAAGGCAAGTGAATTTTGGGTTGATCGTTTTGATTGCAGAGCGTGAGGTGTGTCTCGCCGTTTGTCCCACCGCTTTTGTTTCGTGGCCGCGTTCGTTGAGTGACGACACAGCAGACGTGACGCTTCAACCGGTGCAGCTACAGCACTCCCATCCTCGCATGATTCACCAACCCCAAAGCTATGCCTGGTACATACAGGCATAATGCTACGGCACATTGCAGGAAGTGGCATTTGTATGGAATTATACCAATGGTGGTTGGCCCGGGCTTTCCCTTGCAACTCAAGTTTCTTCCCACATGTAAAAATAAGTAATAATAAATTGGCTCTACAACCTGAAAAGGACTAGTCTGAAGAGGTCCTGGTACTGAAGTTTTGTTCTCTGGGTAAAATGTTTTTCATGTATTCAAACTTAAATGGCCTCATTGGCAAACCGAAGCAACGAGAACACAATTCATCTTCTTGGTTTTTTCGGTAAAGTCACGTAGAAGGGAAGTAATAAAATAATAAAAATAAAACATAATAAAATAATATAATATTATTATGTTTTATTTTTATTATTTTATTACTTCCCTTCTACGTGACTTTACCGAAAGAACCAAGAAGATGAATCCCTGCAGTCACGAAAGCTTTAAATCGAAAGAGAACACAATTGTTTGCTCTTGGGTCGTCCTTTGCTCTGGTTATTGCTGCAGTAAGCTGTTATGCATTGAAGGTGGACTTTTTTTAGACATAGTCACCGTGTGCCAAATTTTTTAAAATAAATTCCAGACGTACATTTTTTTTTTTACATCAACATTTTTGACTTGCATTTTTTCCCACCGCTGCCGCCACAGCCCAAGGACACGACGCAAGCCCTGAGCAGGAAGGCTTCGGTTGTCAACATGGAGAAGTTCAAGAAGTTTAATGCCCGGCGGAAGTGGAAGGTACGGTCGGTCACCCATTATCGTCATGGTTATTGTTCTTCAGGTTTTTACAGGGAGGCAAACGCATTGCCAAGGTTGAACCAGCAAATAGATATGAGTAATAATGCATACAAAGGGTGACTTATCGACTACTAAAGGCACGCTTTTGACCATTGTATCAGTCCTTGCGTAATGTCACGTGAGATCGCTGAGGAAAGTGTGTGCAGATCAAAACAGTATCAGAATTTGTATTGGTCCTGGAGGAATCTGAGGAGCTAAGAAGCTCTGTTTCACAGATATCCGGTAGGTGCGGGTCAGCAAGTTAAAGGTTAAAAAACTAAATGTCAGTCCACGCAAAGGTGAACGAAATGTAAACCACACGGCATCATGAGTGCTAGTTAGGTTACTCTGAAAATCCATTTCACTAAAAGGCTGAACTAGTATTTAATTTGATATTAAAATATGAGTCACATATGTGTGTTTACACACACACATGCACACAATGCGTGTGCTGACTCACTGGCTGATGGTTTTTTGTATGTCTAAAAACAAACTTATTCCGGAGGGGCCCAAACAAACACCCACGCTTATTGTCGGGTGCGTGACGTGTAGTGACAGTTGTCACGATGGAAGCTATTGTTTTTGTTGTCATCACCACCACAATTCTTTTGGCAGCAATCGGTGCGACTCATCTCCCTCTGCAACCGCTTATCTCGCTCCTTCCTGTCACGGAGTAACCTCAACATCAACAAGAGCACGGACACGCTGGTGAGAGACCCGAACGAGAGCTGTCGTTCGTCTTTGTAACCGCGAATGCATGATGGTTTTCATTGTCTTATTCTCGTGCTTTGTTAACGCACCAGCTAGCACCATCCTGTTCTAACAATGAGGTGAATTCTGTCCAAACTGCAATCGTTGATAAAACTACATTGAGCGAGTGACCTGAAGCCTCACATCATACTTCACTCCCCTGCACAAATTTTGGTCGCAATTTTTTTACAAAGTCAAACCATCAGCATAACAGATGGATAAATGAAGTCTATTTGATCATGTATAAGAACAGTGATTGATAGTGACAACCAGGATTAACTTTAGGGATTATCTCGGTCTCCTAACTCTACGACCACTTGACTGGAGCACTCATTATGTGGGGATCAACTGACTTTGGTTAAACTTATTACCATTATAATAATAATAGTTCCGATATCACTCACCACTGATGTCAGCCATTACCGGCAACCACAGCGAGGTCGCCAGGTTGATGGCACAGCGCGTTTACCGCGAACGCTAAAGCGTTCTTCTTTGTGCTCCGTTATTTGTGCTCGGTCACGTCGGATCGTGTCGGTCGCGCGCCCAGGACGAGGAGGACTCGTTTGTCGTCAAGGCGATCGTGCACGCCATCAACGACGACAACCTGCCGGGCCTGCGCCACCTGCTCGAGTCGCTCAAGGGCTACGACCTGAATCAGCCCAACAAGGCAAGCGCCACCCCCCCTGCCCCACCTTCTCCCTTCCCTCTCATTCAGTCTTTTATTCATTCACTAGCTTTTTTGCCCATCCAAGGACGGGTGTATATTGCAGTAAATCTGAAATTTTCAAGAGAAAAATTGTTCAGCTCATGATTATTAATGAGGGGGGGGGGAGTTGCCCCATGTGGAGTGACGTCACCCGTGAATGGTTATTGGGGAGGGGTGCGGCATGTAGAGTGACGTCGCCCGCTCATGATTATTAATGAGGGGAGGGGTACGTCATGTGGAGTGCGCGACCTTCTTGTGCGTTGGTGTAAATTTCCACGCGGGCATGAATATTAATGAAGGGGCGGGGGGCCTCTTTTGGCAGTGACGTCACGTATGGATGTAGCACGGTATATTTATTTTTTACCGTCACTTTGTGGAAAGAAACGTCATATTTGAAGCAAGTTTGCGAAATAATTATTTAATTCAGCTCGACCTTCCTCTGCGTTAGTGTAAAAATCCACCCACTCATGAATATTAATGAGGGGGGGTGGGCCTCATGTGGAGTGACGTCACGTGGGGGGGGTGGGGGCCTCGTGGAGTGACGTCACGCGTGGGACACACACGCATTCTTGGCTCATTATAATAGTATTCTCAAATCTCTCATTTCCCCCTCACCAACCCCGCTCCTCACTCCTCATATTGACCTCATTAGCCCAATAGCCACCAGTGTTTATAAAAGGCAATTGATATTAACGTAGGCATTGCTGGGAAGATTAGTGTCGAGCCTGCATTGAGTTCTGGGGTTCGCAGACTCCGTTGTCAGCCCTCGTTGTGATGTGGGACGATAAGTGGGTGAGCGATTTGTCTCGCGGTTTGCGTGGTCATTCCAGGCCACAGTGATTATCTCCTCCGCAAGCGTAAACCATTGTTTGTCGGACTCATAGCCATGTTTTGAGAATTGCCCACAATTTACGAAATCGTTTCCTGGAACAATTGCTGGGGGCAACATGCCCTGTGTTGATTTAACATCGATTCCTCGAGGCAATACTTACACAAGAATGTACTCGCTGTATTTGGTTCAAGAATAATGATGGTGTGGTATATAGGTTTTTAACAACCGAGTCTTTTTTTAAATAGATGTTTGTTCCACAGTCCAATAACAATAGTTTATGTATTGAAAAAGATTGGTCTCCTTTGCACAGGAGACTTGCTGTCTGAAAGGGCTCTGAAATGGCAAAATAAGGGCAATTCCACGGAACCTGCAGTATACTTGGAATATTTTTCACGTGACCCTTGCACAACACATGCTTCTGTTTTGTAACTGGAGGTGAATCAGGTTACGTGTATGCGACGAGTGAAGAGGTTGATTATAATATGAATGCATTTCATTCAACAATTCATTGAATGCCTGGAGAACAGTGAGGCCATTGTCTATCCCTCTTCAAAAATATTTGCAATGAATCGCTTCCTGTTTGCATTGCATTCTGTGATGTGCATCTTTGGTCAGGCTATCGCTATTGTGACCCCACTCTGCTTTGTCGAGAGCAGACCCATGTGTCTCAGAGGCATTCTTTATTACCGTATACTACTCACAGGTAGCTGAGCTCAGGCTCAATGCCCCAAAATGCCAAGCGACCAGCAACAAACAGCACCATTCAAGTTGAAATATAATAGAGTTAATACATTTCTCGAATTGAGCAAGGTTATAAGAACTTGGGAGAAAAGATCATGGGAGTGAATTCCAGAGTCGAGCAGTGCAAGGAAAACAGAAAGAGAATCGTATTGCCCTGCAGGGTGGTTGTTAAAGACAGCGTGCATGAGAGCACATCGACTCTCTGATAACTAATGTTCAGCCTTAAACAATTGTGGTCATCATTGCCGAACAAAATTAACATTAAATGCATTACAGGACTTTATCCTGGACTTGAAACTGTCTTTCAAGACACAAATTGACCACGTGGTTAACAGATAAAAACCAAACTTGGATTCCTCTGCAGAAACAAATGCTGTATTCCACCCCGACTCCATCTGAGTATGGTTAATGCCACCATCCTGTCTAGATTTGATTATTGTGACACCATCTACCACCTAGCTTCCGAATCTACCTTTTAAAGTTCAATTCCATTATACCACTCTGCTCTTCGTTTTACCGTCGATGCCCCCTATTGAACTCCTCATTACAACCTGTACATCAACTCAAATCTGTGCCCCCTGGATATCTGGAGAGACTACCACTGGGCTGTCTTCATCCGAAATGTCCTCTTAAACAAATCTGTCAGTTTACCTTAAGTACCACTAACTTTTGATTTAAAGCTTTCGTGACTGCAGGGATTCGTATTCTTGGTTCTTTCGGTAAAGTCACGTAGAAGGGAAACAATAAAATAATAAAAATATAAAACAATACAATTATCACGACGTTTCGATTGCAACACAAGCAATCATCATTAGGTGGGAAAACCACAGCAAGAAAATTTGAACAAAAACAAATCTTGCTGTGGTTTTCACACCTGATGATGATTGCTTGTGTTGCAATCGAAACGTCGTGAGAATTTTATTGTTTTCTATTTTTATTATTTTATTGTTTCCCTTCTACGTGACTTTACCGAAAGAACCAAGAATAAGTATCACTGACTTACCACTAACTTCCTCTAACTCCCTCCCGTAGCCTCAGAAGGGCCTTCTTATTCCTACTAAAAGTTATATTTGCCTAAACTTTGGTTAAAAAACATCTTTCCACGTTGCTGCTCCACGTTTCTGGAATGCCCTTGTCATTCATTCATCTACAGCTTGCTTCCCTCCCCCTCTTTATGTCCTTATTTGGCCAAAACACACATCATGCTTGCACCTGTGCCTAACTTTTTTTCAGGTGTCTCTTGCTTCTGCATATTTGCGCTGTCTTTTTCTATTCGCTTGTGGTTATGTCACTATTAGACTAAAATATAGAGCTTGCTTGCACATGTACCTAACATTTTCTGTACCTCTTGCTGTCATTTTATATTTGCACAGTTTTCTTTTGATTCGCATGTGTTTTCGTTTACGACTGTCAAATACCTTGGTTTGTTAGTTATGCACTATTCTTTAAGGACCCTGCACTAATCTGCAGTGTTGATGTTTTTTTTGTCTTGTTGTTGATGCGCTCATGCACCACGCGTCTCCGTTGTGAAATAGCTGTGCAACTAGATAAACGGGATCTTCCCTGTAACAAACAAGAAACTATCTAAACTCAATCCTCTGCGGGATGAACTCCACCCCGCAGCATGTAATTTAAAAAAATATGTAACATTATATGCTCTGCATAGTCGGCATTCGCAAGTTGTTATGTCAATATGCAGCGCATAGGACACAGTAGGTCACACAGGAGCTCTTGTTTATTTGTTCCGATATACTCGGTGCCCTGAACGCACAACTTCGACTCACCACTTGCACAGAGGCTGTGATGTTTGGTTTTGTGCATTCATAAGTGTGTGCACTCTGCGCCACTAATCAATTCCCTCTCATCACACGACCGGTCCACCTTCGTTCATTGGGGTGGTTGAGTCTTCTCCTCTGCTGCCTCTGATGTCTGGTACAGTCTCCCCCTCGGTGTCCTGCATTCCTGACTGTCCACGTTGCTCAAGACCTATCTCTTCTCTTTCCACTTCTCAGAGTGACTACCTTTGCCATCTAGCACGTACTACTCTGTAGCCTTCTCGTCTCTGTAACACACCTCCCTGCCTCGTTCTTCTTTCACCTGCATCCACAACTTGTGTCCTGCGCTCTTGTGTGTTGTCTTAGATGTCATTACATTTAGATGCACGATAAAACACAATTGTATTTTTCTGCTGGATAGTCGTTCAAAATGCTTTGCGCTTAAATGTTTTCAAAAAGGTTCTGTGGCTGGAAATGACCATAAATTACCATGTCTGTCCTGCTGCACTTTGCACAGAATGGTCTTGCTGTCTGTGCAAGGGTAAATACAGCAATGAAGGGGCTTAGTTGATCTCCCAAGCAAACACATGGCGGTGGTGTTTACACGTTACACTATGGAAATGGAACGTTCTTTTGATGTGCGTGTGTATTTATTGCTTGTGTCGGCCACCCTCACGGATTACCGAGACCCTAAATAAGCGCTTGAGAAAAATGGCCCGTGGCTTCTTTGTCCATTTTCTCTTTATTCGGCCGAGAAGTCGTTTTTTTCACCGACGTGTAAAGTCAGGTAATTTGATCCGTGACTCAGCCCGCTGATAGAAGAACTGGGCTGTAGTCAGTTTAAAACAAACCTACGGCATTACATAACGTTGACATCACAGCTGCAGCATTTGTTCTCCCGTAACAGTCATTCGAGAGGTGTGCGGCGGTGACTCGAGTACTGAAGCATTTCTCGTGACGAGCCCCCCCCCCCGCGCGTTTTAGGTTTTCACTTAAAAGGACTTTGCCCCCCCCCCCCCCCCCCTAGCGTTCCACTTGAAAGGGAGATGACCTGCAGGGTCAAATAAGTTTACACATAGCTGATAAGCAGGCATTATGCTGTTCTGAGAGATTCTGTGATGAATGGTGGGGGGGGGGGCGTTCGGCGAAGAGTGCCCTATTGCCTGTCTTGCCACCCTACCCACCCAGGACTGTGTTGGATAAATCCAGACTAGGCCACATCTTAAAAAAAATGCTAAAAAAAGATGTGAAAAAGAAGAATTGCCCCAAGGCACATGAGCAATGCACACAAACAGAATTACTACGTCTGTCTCTAAAATAAAACCCGTATGCGCTCCGCGGATCTCTGGTGTGTTTCCCAATAAATTAGTGTGTGTCTATGTTGTGTGTTTCTCTCTGTGTGTCTCTGTGTTGTCTCTCTCTGCCTGTGTGTCTGTCTGTGTGTCTCTGTTGTGCGTTTCTCTCTGTGTGTCTCTGTGTTGTCTCTCTCTGCCTGTGTGTCTGTCTGTGTGTCTCTGTTGTGTGTTTCTCTCTGTGTGTCTTTGTGTTGTCTCTCTCTGCCTGTGTGTCTGTCTGTGTGTCTCTGTTGTGTGTTTCTCTCTGTGCGTCTCTGTGTTGTCTCTCTCTACCTGTGTGTCTGTCTATGTTGTGTCTCTCTCTCTGTGTGTCTGTGTTATCTCTATCTGCTCGTGTGTCTGTCTGTGTGTCTCCGTGTCTGTGTTTTGTCTCTCTCTCAAATATCGTTTTATTTTACTTTCTACATGACTTTACCGAAAGAACCAAAGAGTAATTCCTGCAATCACGAAAGCTTCAAATCAAGTTTGAGGATTAACCTACAAGAGGTTTCTTCTCAATTCAGTTTTAATCTCTTTTGTGATATTTGGGTAAGGTTTAGGGTCAGTTTTTTTTCGTCAGGTTGTGTTAGTTAAGCTGTCATGGCTTATTTTCCAAATAATGTGAGGTCTCTTTTTGCAATGCACATATTTAAAGATTGCAATGTTAGTGCTGGGTACACAAAGGCAATAACATTGTAGTTTTCTTAATTAAACAGTGACACACATGTCGAGTTCAAGAAACCATCAAGGAAACTCAAAAATTCTCCTCACAAAACTCTCTGTGTGTGCGTCCAGCAAAACCTGCTCAAATGCGATACGTAGGAACCTGAGTTTATCTCTCTGTACACAAACGATGTGTTAAATTTTAGGCATGTGCCGTCATCTGTTTGTATAACCTCGTACAAACTGCAACGCTAGAGTCGCAGTGCGGTGATCCAGGATGTTTGACCTGCAGAGCCTGTCATGCAGTCGAATTCCGGTTTCATCGGCCGGGAAGCTGGTTGGACATCGCACTGTAGTGCGAGTCGCAGAGGTCGCAAACGGGTTTTGATTCCTTACCCGTACCCGTACCCGGCCGCACCAGGGTCGCAAACGGGTACCCGTACCCGTACCCGGCCGGGTATGGGTACCCGTACGCTACCAGTAACCGTACCCTACCCGAAATGAGTGACAAACGGTTACTCACCGGTGACTCACGGCCTACCCATACCCGTACCCGGCCGCACCAGGGTCGCAAACGGATACCCGTACCTGGCCGGGTACAGGTAGCCGGGTATCGGGTAGGGTACAGGTATCGGGTACCCGGTTGCGACCTCTGGCGAGTCGGTGCCGTGTCTCGAGCACGTATGCAACAGAGAGTTTTCTCCCCGATCCGGTGTTCAACGCGCGGGACAAGGACACCGATATTAGAAGCCACTGCAGCTATGTATGCACTTCTAAATCTAGATTGAAAACTCATTTCTGGAGAACTGCTTTTTTGTGTTTAGTTTGTTGACCTTCCCCCGCACCTCCGATTGGCACGGTTCACTATGTACGATGCGAAAGAAGTTCAACATGAATACGTACACAAATTCTAGCATTTTCCTCAACGTTCATTGTCCAATTTTTGGTCGGCGACATACATACGAACCCGAATGTGACATGTGGGGTCTGTGCTTCCATTGTGTCCACAGCATGGGGAACCACCGCTGCTTATTGCCGCGGCCTGTGGAAACAACCAAATCTTGGAGTTTCTGATGTCCCGGGGCGCCAGAGTCGACGTTCATGACAAGGTGCCTGCTCTACTCGTTTGTGCCCGATTTAAAGCTTTCGTGACTGCAGGGATTCATCTTCTTGGTTCTTTCGGTAAAGTCACGTAGAAGGGAAGTAATAAAATAATAAAAATATTTTATCATATTATATTATTTTATTTTATTATGTTTTATTTTTATTATTTTATTACTTCCCTTCTACGTGACTTTACCGAAAGAACCAAGAAGATCGTTTGTGCCCCTCCCTTGCCTCCAGAACAAAGGGGCGCCGCGGTTGCGAGATGTTAACTACCTCGCTTGGTATGCAGGATGTGGTGGGTTCGATCCCGATCCTGACGCCTGTATACTTGGAGTCTGCGTGTCTCTCTCTCTCTCCTCGTGGTCGCGTCGATTTTTCTCCAGGTCCTCTGGTTTTTCCCTCCACACTTAGAGACATCCGCTTAGAGTATTTGGCTGTTATAAATTTCCACGTGATAAACCACTTCGTTGAGCTCTCATTTGTGGCCAGGTTATTCTGAAAAAGAGCGATATAGCTCAGTGGTTCTTACCTGGCAAAATAAAAAGTTTAGTTTTAATTTGAGTTTAGAACATGGCACAGCCCGGACATGACGGATAATTCCACACCATTGCCCCAAAGGCTTCAGGAATTATCGATGATAAATAAACGGTGCATCCTTTACATCTCATTTGGCTGTGTGAACAAGAATAATGTTTCTTCTTTCATCCGGCTAATGTAGATGCAGAGCAATAACAACAATTTCACATTCAGGTGTTCAAGCCAGATAACTGTGTCGGAAGCAGCGAAGTGTATCATTGTGATGTCTTTTTTCATATTACGAATGATGACGATTAGGCAAATGTGATAGATACAAAGCAAGGTACAATGTACTGCCGTCGAGAGCTGTTTTTAGTAAGCAAAACTCAACTTGGCCGCACATTATCTGGTCCTGAGTTGAGGAAATACGCCTCCATCAGATGATTCACCTTCCATTCAAAGTAATGCAGAGACGATATGAATTCAAATGCACTACTGCAATAACCGTGCAACTTTCATTCACATTTTCCGAAGTAACTCTGCAGTGTTTCTAACCCGATTGTTTGAAATGTTGTCCCTGCCAGCACGGAGCCAACGCGGTTTACTGGGCAGCAAGGCAAGGCCACCTGCATACCATCCAGTTCCTCAAGGATAAGAACTGTTCTCTTGACAATCGAGACAAGGTGAAGATTAAAATTTATCGCTGTTTGTGAAAAAGTGCCTTGTGTTTGAGAGTCACTGTGTGAGTGATGCTTTCCTAGCTCCTGGAGTGTGATTTTTGCAGCTCTTCTATTTCTGCAGAAAGCCTCTACCATCCATTGTAATGGTGCATCGATTCGTCAATTAATATCGATTATTTTGCTCAAGGTCTGCGCATCAAATCGTTGTTGTCCATTCACTCGGGTGAATGAAGAAAACAACCGTGCAAGCGAGATAGAAAAAACCGAGGAAACAATACAAACGAGATAATGAGACAACAGCAATCTAATCGTGATTCCCAACTTGTGACATTTCATCTGATTGCTGTTGGGTGGGTAAATAACGTCTATGCAGAGTGCCTGTTGTTACTGTTATATTTTGTCAAGTCGTTCAGTGTATGTTTTCCTTTGTGTGTGGGGGAAAGGTAGTGCAGCCATTAGCTTGCTGTGCTACGAACTCGGCGACCTAAGTTCGAGTCACGCTCACGGCCACCACCATTGATGATTATCTTAACTGGTCCTGGCCTTCCCCTAGATCGACTCAGCCTCAAATGAGTACCTGGTGCGGTGTGTAACATCGCCACGGGGGAGACAAAGGTTTCCGGGCGTGGTGATGGCCACCCATCCACCATGCGTGCCGTGCCGGCCTTCATCGGTGCTCCCTAACAGCACTTGCCCTAAAAGTATGTTACGGCTATGGGGGGCATCTTTGTCTTCGTTGGCACTGTTTAACCGCGTCCTTCCCGGTGCTTCTGGGCGACGACGGGTTGTCCTTCTCTCGGTAGTCCGAGGAGACCCCCCTTCACGTGGCCGCACGCTACGGCTTCGTGGACGTCGTGCAGCAGCTGTGCAAGGCCGGCGCCAACCCCAACCCCACTGACAAGGTGCCGCCCCACCGGCCTTCACGGCCAGTATTCACCCGTCGTCACCATCAGCCAACACCTCCCACCATCACCACCAGCCAACACCACCAGCCATCACCATCAACCGTCATAACCAGCCATCACTTTAAACCAACACCACCAGCAATCAGCTCCAGCCATCCTTGCGAGCCATCGCTGCCAACGTCACGCCCACCCATCACCAGTCGCCACTACTCCAGAGTCGCCTTCGCCTTTCTTGTGGTCCTGTCTGCCCAAACCCTCACCTGGGTTATCGCTAACCCCCATGACCTTCCAGGAGCTGGAGACGCCGCTGCACTGCGCCGCTTGGCACGGGCACACGCCGGTGGCGCAGGCCCTGTGTCGCGCCGGCTGTGCCCTCAACATGCAGAACCGCGACGGTGAGACCCCGCTGCTGAGTGCGGCGGCGCGAGGCCACCGTGACATCGTGCAGTGCCTGGTGGAGCACGGGTCCCAGCTGCAGCTCACAGACAAGGTGCGCCAACACCCCTGACTACTGGCGACCTGTCATACCCTTTGCACTTTGACATCTGCGCGTTGCTAGTTGTTTTGTTTCGTGTGCTCGTGGGTGTGCGTTTATTTTTTATTTTAGCTTGTGGACCAACCCAAGATTGTTTCACCAGCATGGACAAATTAGTGTGCCTGATGTGTTGACCAAATTCTCCTTATAAAGTGTACCTTTGACCTTGCGAGTTGGAGGGGGCAAGGGTGAGTGGATTGCATCGATTTGTGCAACTCTCGGAACTAAATGTTTGCTTTATTTCTGCCGCCACCCGTCCAATAAAACTTCTATAAGAAACATTTCCCCCCCCACCCCCCACTCAGAAGTCTAACACGCACTTGCTGGCCGGCACTGCATTCACCTTGTGCTGCACAGGGACAGTTGCCACTGCGGGGGGTCGCCCTGCCACAGAGCACCTCGAGATATACTCTGTGGCAGGAGCGGCATAAACACGAAGTGATGGTGACGATTTACCTCCCTCTCTCTTCCCGCGCCCCTGTGGCCACTCTCCACGACCGCCAGAATGGCTGGACGGCGCTGCACTTTGCCGTGCGGCGGCGGCAGGCGGACATCGTGGGGTACCTGCTGACGCGCGGCGGGCGCTGGGCTGACGTCGGGGACCAACACGGCGAGACGCCGCTGCACCTGGCCAGCAAAGACGGTTCCCTGCCCACTGTGCGGGCCCTCTGCCTCGCATCCTACAGCCCCGACGTACCCAACAAGGTAGTACGCCCCCGGGGACGGCAGTGTCAGTGTGTTGGGGGGAGGGGCGGGTTGGGTGAGGGGCTGAGCTCTCCCCTGCTGATGGCTCTGTGCCCCCCTTTAAAGTTATAGTTGAGTCATTGTCATAATAACAGCTCACATGCGCGCACACACACAAATTGATCTGCTATGGAATCTCTTTAATTTTTCTAGGATTAATTTATCGTTCAAACTATCAGCAATCGTTGGACGGGACTGGATAAAGTAAAAGTAATACAATTAAGCCACGGACACCATAGCCTATTCTCAATTACATAGGGGGTGAGAGCCAGAGCAGAATGCATAATACTAATTCTGTTTAGTGTTTAACATTTGTCTAAAGTTTGCTTTACAGTCACCATGTCCTGGCCCCCTGAATATTTGAATGCCTCTCCAAACACGATCCCACTGGTGCACTTCCTTTAAGGGTACCTGCTCTGGTTTGTTTGGCTGGGCCTTTCATTTTCTGGCCACGTTCTTGAAATTACATTTCTATTTTCATACCTTGAGTAATATTTGTGTTATACGCATGGTCGTGTGGAGTTGTTTTCAGCTTTGTGTGCAATGATATCATGAGTATTTGTCACGTGACAATCGTAAGGTTTCATATCTGATTTTGGGCAAGAATGTGCTGTTGACGTTTTTGTGTAAGCTTCCGCAGCCTGAGAGCCCCGTTCAGTGGAAAGCCACGTGGATTTATGCCAATTTTCCAAGACCAATTACTTTTGTGCTTCTACCTGCCTAGTGCCCACTCGTCGTAACTTGTTCAGGTAATGTTCGGCTTCACTTGCGTATGAGGTAAAACAATGCAGACTGCTGTCATAGATACCGATAAACAAAAAACAAAGTGATGTAGGCATGTTATGATTCACCCACTCAGCTATTCAATTAATGGTCACGATTCGGGGCCTCGACTCAATTCAACATTCAATTATTTTTTATCTTGTTTTTAGCCACTTCCGTGCCCTCGTCTAGGAGGCCGCTTTGGATTGCACCACTCTTCGATTTCACATTAACATGCTAATCTCTCACATTAACATCACACTATGCTTTCACATTAACAGCCACTTCCGTGCCCTCGTCGAGGAGGCCGCTCTCCTATCTTACAGTTCCATGCTAATTTCTCACATTAACATCACTAGCCCCGGCCACTTCTTTATGACCCTTGGGCTACACCCATTTCAAACCTTTTGAAACAGTCTTCCTCAGGAGCAGACCATGCTTTCCCACCTGATGACGGACGCTTGTGTTGCGCCCGAAACGTCGTGATTTATTTTATTTTATACCTACGTGACTTTACCGAAAGAACCAAAGAGCATCATCGGTATTGTTTGTTGATTTTGTCTCGAATTTACAGTTTTGCTTTATTAAGGTGAATATAACAGCATCTAATTTGCATCTATTAAACATCACCAATTTGTCCACGTGCACGATGCAGTCCGTGGAATTCGTAATTTTAATCGAGGAAGTGGTGCATCATTACACGGATAATGTCAAGTAGCTCCCGTATTATTGGCCACAATACCACTTAATTGTGATAATTATGTGTAGTAAAACAAGGAGTTATGTTTGATCCACCCGTGCTGAGTGTATATATCCCCGTGCTCTCTATTAAGGGTCAAACTCGTGTGTCGCGCGTCCTAAAGGTTAAAATCACGCACGCCAACTCAACTCTCACGCTCAGAGGCACTTGCCGTGGAATGCAGCGGAATGCAGCTCCGTCGGGTTAGGTCCAGAAGAAGAAAAAAAATGATCCGCAGGATTAGCAAAGGTGGTATGGTGGTTTGTGAAATATTTGGAGGCCGCTCCTCTTTGGAATTCATCATTGAATTGAAAGAAATATGCGAAGTACAGGCACTCCTCCTGTCTCTGATTGACAGTGGGCGTTATCGTCGTGCGTGCTCGGTTTATGACGACTCGCCGTCGTAAACATTAGGTTTCGCTTTGTATGTACGATTGGCATCGCAAAATGTCTTATGGTATTTTAAACAATGAGATAGGGCAGATTTTAAACGGCCTTTTATGCAACTGTCAACTTTTATTTTAATTTTAAAAAGGCCTTCCCACACCTCTTGCTGTCCACTTAAAAATCACAGAGATCCTTTCCCGGCAGTCATTTGGCATCGCACAGCCGACTAAGTTTTCTTTGCTCAGTTGTGTCGGCTTTCACTATGGACAGGTGGAGTGGGGAACAGTTACAGATCACCGCGGAGGTGCGGAGTGACTTGATCGGCAATGACACCTTGATGTATGACAGTTGGCTTGAAGTGTAACTGCCTCTTTGTAATTCAAACCAGGGCACCTGTGTGTACGTATCGCAGCTGGAGCTCGCATCTCCCGTATAAACATGCTTAGCAAGGCCGTTTAGTTTACCTTGGGCTTAGAAGAAGCCACATGATTTTTGCTCATTACACATGCAGCAGGACTGAGTAAGGTTTATCACTTTTAGTATTGACGCCTGTATCCTCAGTCAGAGGACTACCCACTTCAAACACCTTGGCTTTTTAGACAAAGTACATGCAGTGAAAATAAATCCCACTGGCAAATATTTACTGAGGCAACAGTACAAACAGGGCAGTGCAGCCACTTCAAGACCTGTGATTGCCCAGCACGTTGCTCCATCTTGGTGGTGTGATTTGAGGCAATTACTGTATTTTTTTATTCTAAGATGCACTTCTTCCCTGTATTTTAAAGCAAAAGTTGGGTATGCATCTCTGGTGGGTGCGTTTGTCTGTCAGATCAGATTTTCATAAGCTTATTGAGTTAGCGGTGTATCATCCTTTCCGCAGCGTCTTATTTGCATTTAAGTGTGAGTTAATTGCACATTACAGTAGCTTCCTTACACTGTGATATCTTAGCCAAAAGCGTCGGGAGTGAGGAGGTGTAACATTGAGCTCAGTGGCTGCAAGTGTGTGAAGTCTACATAAGGGTAGTTTCATAGCCGTGATGTCTTGAAGCAGTGCAGAAAAATAAATTACTGTCGTGTTCCTCTATGGTCCCAATTCCAAACTTTCCATCTTCACTGACATGCGTTCACCCAACATTGTTGATATGTGGTCAAATAACCCCCACGACCCGCATGCCCTCATCCGGGAGTGGGATGACATGTTGAAGCTCCCTCCCGCGAGCTGCCGGGTTGTTGTCCTGCACGTTGCGAGTTTCCGTTGTGGCTGTTTCTTCTTGTGCGCAGCATGGGTGCACGCCCCTGCACCTGGCGGCCCACCACGGTCACCTGGAGGTGGTGCGGCAGCTGTGCGTGGTCGGTGCCAGCCTGGAGGTGCTCAGCAATGTAAGTGTGGCCCCTCGGCCCTGCGGTGCGTTCGGCGCACGCACACAGCCGCATGCGTGTAAGTAGCCTCAAAACCACTGGCACGTGTCGCCTTGAGGGTTACCACTGGGACATATCTCTCACAACACTGGACGAGTGAAGAATGACGTGTATGTAATTGTAAACTTTAAACTAAACAATTTTTATTTTACCAGGTAAGGCCCATTCAGCCCTCTAGCTCTTTTTCAGAAGCGACTTGGCCACAATTGATAGCTCAACGAAGTGGCTTATCACGTGGGAATTGATAGTAGCCAAATACTTTTAAACACATGTTTTTAAATGTGGAGGGAAAAACCGGAGGACCCAGAGAAAAATCCACACGACCATGCAAACTCCAAATATACAGGCATCAAGGTCGGGATCGAACCCACGACCTCCTGTATACCAGGCGAGGTAGTTAACATCTTGTTACCATGGCGGACTTGTATTGTCTTCAGTGGTGTATGATTACACAACTTTCCAGAAACATTCTTTTTTTCCTGGGAAGACTCGCCGACTTCCTCTGAGAGCTACCACAAACAGAGGACGATCCTGGCTTAATCCAGGACAGGTTGAAATCGTATTAGCCTTATACCCAGAGCACACAAAACAGATGAACAAGCACAACACATATAGCACCCTCACCCAGAGGGCACAAAGCAGAGTCTGAAACGTTGTGTTTATGAAATCAAATTCTATCTTAATTTTCCACCATTTGCCGACCAGCCTGAGCTGGACACCTGTGTAAAATAACTGCTAAGCTCATTTGGTTCTTCCAGCGTCAATAATATGTCTAGGTCTAAATGAGCAATTGGGTGGTATTCATCTCCATTGATGACCTTTAGTCAGTGGTTGATAAATTCCACATTGCAATGTTTGGAGGCCAAGTATCTCTGTAGGATGTGCACTATTAAGTTCACACCAAGTGGTATTTATTTGATCACCTTGGAAGCATGATGGGTTGATTCATTCCACGGCCAGGATTTTAAATTCCAAATAGGCAAATATTAGTTAAGCACAGTGCCACCTTTCCAGATATTTTGCATGCATGTTCTGTCATGTATCTGTTATAGCGCAGGTCACGGGAGTGGACATTTAGTTTCAGTTTACACTCGTACATGTACTACACTGCTAACAGCAGTCTCTTAACATTTAACAGCCCCACACCCACAAGAACAGCAACACAGCGAACAGATACACAAAGAAAATAGCCACCCAGCTAGCAGATACACCACCCAAATAGAGCCTGATGGCCAACATCTACACAATGAAAACACAGCCACACAGCCAGGGATCTCGCACCAGGCCAACAGCTACAACTAAAGCACCGCAGTGGAACACGCTGCTGAATTTAAAACACCATCTGTTGTAGCTTTTTTTCATTCACGACTAACAATGACTTTGGTCTTTAAGAACGTCCATTAATTACATTCACGAAAGCCACAAAATGCAATCAAACATTGGAGGATTAAGAAATACATCATTACATTTGAAAGGCAACACTTAGAAGCACGTCGCTGAGATTAATTTTTCCGCAAAGCGTCATCTTAATGTAATTTTGTATAAATCGCGTTCCACACTGTCGGCTTTACCAAACCCTTAATAATATTACCATTAACCGAATAGGACGATTTGCTGTGCATGGGATGGCGCGTTTAGCCGAGGGCGGTGGCGAGGCCGGAAAGGCAGGTTTGTGCCGAGCCCCATGCCAGACCCCCGTCGCCTCCGTGGCAGCCTCGGGGAAGAGTCCTTGGTTGCGTCTCTCTCTGGCTCCTTGCAAAACCAATCTGATTTGCAGCTGCTGACTCTGTGCTCGTCGCCAATTTGCCCTGCAACACAGTATTTTTTTACATGTCCCTCAAGACAGTTGAAACGGGTAGAGTTCCATGAATCATAAATACTATTTGGCAAAAAGAGAGAGAGAGAAAAATTAGAAAATGTAAAAAAAATCGTGATACGCATCACCGTCGTTAACATACTGCTTAGCTTCACAAGTGATGGCAGACAGTACAGCAGCAGCAACAATAACAACAACCGTAGGGTGACAAAAATCCTCGTGACAACTAAAATCAATTATATTTTCACATATAAATATTAACGGAGCCAAAAGGTGGCGCTGCTGTTTCCTGCAAATTCCACCTTTGTCCACTGAGCAGCACAAATAGGGGGGGGGGGTACGGCCACAGTTACTCATCAGCAGGAAGATCGTGCGTAATGGGGTAAAGTGTGGGCACTTCCAGGACATCCGGCCAGCGTGGAAGAGTTTGCCGAATACCCTCTAGAGCTCTCCACAGTACTATATTCTGCCCATTACAAATCGCACATTTATCATAATGACCCCAAAGTTTAAGTAAACACATGCAGTCCAAGGGTAGTCAAAATGTCTACCAAAGTTTGCGGTGGGTCTTACTTTGCGAAGTTGCTTATAATCCGAAGAATACGTCATATATATATATGGCTTTCATCGCTTCCCAGCTTCGGAACATCTCATAAGTCAACACACTTGCTAAGTGATGAGTGTTCATGAATGTTCAGCCCTGCTGCATCCTATGAACCGGTTCAACTTGGCATCAGGGGCCGACCTCTGTGTCACCTCGCCGCCAATGGCGTGCGAGCTGCCGTAACTATGGTTGTCGGTTGCCGTGGCACAATGGGAATCATTAGCTGTGGCCAGAATTGTGAGCCGATATTACGTGTATCAAGTTATGGCGGCAGGGGCGGCGAGAGAAGTTGTGTGGTAGTTGGTGGTAGGGACCACCCATGGCCTTGGACCCGTTGGCCTTCCTGTTGAGTAATGTGTGTACAGCACGCGACCTTGTGTCATACTTTATTTGAGTTACCTGCCAGCCATGTGACATAATAGAAGCAATACGACATTTTCATCATAGTGTCCTTTTCAGAGACAAAATCTGAAAGGTCAAAATGAAGCATGGAGGAGCGGTGCATGGTGGGAATTGCACTGAGAGAAAAAAAGAGGAGCACATGGATCACAAAACAAATGCAAATTACAAACATATTCACTCGTTAAACGAAGTGGCCAATGTAGATAATGCACACAAGAACATGACGATTGCTGAGAGGGAGCAGTGAAATTCGCTGATATGCACCTGCATGGTATTGCAAGGACTATTAAAGAAAACATGGGCAGGCCTTCATCCAGCAGTGGATAAATCATGGCTAAAGATGATGTATATTTACTTTTTTTAAATATTGTATTACGTTTTTCAGCGAATATGGACAAAGGTCTTTCAGTAGAATTACACTGGTCAACAAAAAAAAAAAAATTCTGACCTGGACTTTTGCAGCTGTTTTAGACTCATTTCAGGGCGCTGGTTCCAAATCTGATCTCAGATTTGCTTTATCACATCTCATTTTTATGTTATCGGTATACCCCATTTTCATTGATTTTACCCGAAATTAACTCTGTCACTTATGATTGCAAGTTGTTGCGAGTCAGTGACTGCTTTAGTGTTAAAATATTGTGCTGTATTTTTAGGATACTGTGTTTATAATATCAATTTATGTAGATATCCACATTTATTTAATATTTTTCTTCTGCAGTTTTTATTGAAAATGCAATATTTGATATCTCAAAAACCTGATGTGATAGACAAAAACTAATGCCAGATTTGGAATCAGCACCCCACAATTACCTTAGAACCGTTGGAATACCTTATGCCAGAAAAAGTGTGACCAGCGTTATCAGCTCTAACGATGTGTTGTTCTTATTGTTTTCCGGCAAAAAACAACGACTCCAGGAAGGGCTCACTGCAGAGGAGCTGGCGAAGACGGAGGGACATACGGAGGTGGTGCGGCTCCTCTCGCGTCTCCGCAAGGTAACCCTCCGCTGTACCTCCAGGCCGAGAGTCACTTGCTTCCCAGGGGCTACAGCTGTGTAATGGCATTCTGGGATATGCTTATGGATTCCTGTCCCTTGTTATATTATCGTCCAGTATAAAACACTTAATATAAAAAAATGCCAATTGTAAAATTAACGAAACAATAACACCATGATGATAATGCTCATTAAAGCAACGTTGACTTCAGATATACATTCCATGTATTTTTTGTTATTTCATGCTTTAACATTGCATGTGTGGGGGGGTGAGTTATCAGGGGAAAAACGAAATCAATGCCAGAAATGATGTTGAGCAGTTTACTGCATTCCTATGGGGCCCAATACGCCAGACAGACATCTCTAAGCCACGGTGGAGGTACTGCCCCCACCAGCCCATCCGCACACGTCCTCCCTTTTTCGCTCGTGCTAACTTGGACTCCGCTCACCCCAAACACTACACACGGGTGGGTGGGCGGGGGGAGGTGGGACCCCCCTTACGCATTAGCAAGTCACGGTCATAAATAATTAAATGGGAAGATTACGTACGGCGACATCTTGCGCCACAACCCCACAATGCGTGGACGTTCCCAGCGACCCACGACCGCCAGCGTCTCCAAGTCTAGCGGCTTTGCTGCCCCCGCAACGCTACCCTGGGGCCTTGTAACGGATCCCGAGCTGGCACTCCGCCCTGTTGGTGCGTGGCTCCCGGGATTATGGCGATCACGCCAGCACAAGCGCCGCGCGGAGCCCTCTGCGTTCTTGCCGGCACTGGCTGGCAGCCCGCATTACTAGAGAGTGCCCGCCAGCGTCGAACAAAACGGTGCTGGGGGTCGGAGTGGGCGGCGGGGACGCGTTTCCCACACGCTGCCCGTGGCGCTGCGCGACATCGCCAGCGCATTATTGGGCCTCAAAAGACGACATCGACATGGGATGTTTCAGTTTCACACCCGCTGATTGATGGCTTGTTGAACCCTTTGTGGAGGTCCTTTTTAATTAATTTGAGAGCTGTGGAGCAAAAAGAGAAACCATAAACACGTAACAACACCCACCCCTTTCTACAATCTTTTCACGGTGGATGAATCGGTATCCTGTTGGGGAAATTAGGACCTGAAAAAGTAGCAGCTTCAATAACTAAGAGCTCGGCGTGGCAGCATAATTGGAAAGCTGTTTAATGATTTCAGCCGGTTAGTCGGTCATTGAAAGAAGAGGCTCGCTTCGTCCGCTGGGAAGCGCGCACATTTGTGATTCGGCGCTCGTAGGGCTGCTGCTGCTGCTGCGCTTGCTGGTGGATTGGGCTGCAGCACAGTGGCCCATACAGTGTTGGGGGGGGGGGGCTGGGCTCAGGGGTAAGCCTGTCGCCTCTGCAGGAATCTCTTTCAATTCAAGATGATCCATTGTTCATGCTGCACTTCCCGTGCATTTATGGTCCAGTCCTGCATCTAACAATGGCAATGCAAATTATGTATCAGGCGCGAGAGGCTCGTGTGGATTATGGCCGAATCGTATTTGTCCGAGTGCCATTTTACATGCACGTGTGTGTGCATGTGTGCATTTTAGTCTGTTAAATTGTAATGAATTGCTTGAAATCCTAAAGAAGCACACATGGGTGTGGTTTTTGAAAATATGTTCTGTCATGTGGTCGTGATCATCTTGCACAACGCGGTAGTGTTTGGCATGGTGTGGACGCCACTGGCGATCGGATCAGACAATTCAGGGTGGCCGGCGAGATATTTTTTGACACCAATTGCCAACGCGGTTTTGTTAACACTTTGCTTGCCTGCGGTGCAGCAACTTGAGGTCCTTAAAAGAAATCATTACGTACTGGGGTTGTAGGTCCATGGTCTTTATTTGGAGGTGGGGGGATGAGTGGGGTTCGGAGGGGCGAGTGGGTGATGAGAGAGTGGGGGGCGGCGATGGGTGGCGACGTGTCCAGGGTCGTATTAATGCCGCCGCTTGTTCCATTGCATCAGCTATCCGAATGATGCACGTGGAGGAAATGCCGTTGTAATATTTTATAATCATTTATAGGCCTTTGTCAATGAAGGCCGTCTTTTTTAATCTGGTATGAAGAAGAGCCATTGCTCTTAAGGTAAATTATATTTCTCCTTTTAAGGCAGTGTTATTGACAAATGCGTGCCGTTTTGTTGTTAGCTGTGGTGGTTGTCTAACCATACTTCCCTTTCCTGCTCAATGTGGGTTTGTGAAGATGCATGCGGGCAGAGAGGGGTTGCCCTTGACCAGTTCCGATATCACTCACCATTGCTGTTGGCCGGGAATCAAATCCACGTCCCGTCGTGTTGTATCTTGAAGTATTAGTTCATTCTACATGAATGCTTGTTTAAAAAAGATACCATGTCAAGTCGATTTAGAGCAGTGTTTGTCAAACTTTTTTGGCCTGTGGACCACTCAGCCCGATGCAAACGTTTACACGGACCACCCAGCCTCCCCACCCCTGGTGACAAAATGTTTTCGCTTATCTCTAAATACCAGAAATACACAATTATTCTTATTACCGGGACATAAAACACTTTTTTTAAACACTCTCTCTGTTTTCTTTATTAGGGAAGTCATTTAGATATTAGGGTTAGGGTAGTTTACCGAATTCCATTTCTAAAATAAAAAATCGTAAGTAAAACATTAATGTCCAAACCAAGAGGTATAAACATTGGCATTATTGTCCGGATCAGCCTGCATTTGCATCAGCCCACGGGTCACCTGAAGGGGACCGCCTCTGTTGTGCTGGGGACCACACTTTGAGAACCACTGGTTTTGATTTCAAGATTTAGATTTGTAAACAGTCCAGTGCTTCATATTTAAAAGGGTATGCTTTCACTGATAACCCTATTTTTTACCATCAAAATGCCAGACTTTTGATTTGAATCATTTGATTTGCCAGTGTGACCAGTAAAATGGCAACCACTGTCATGTGATTGGCCAAATGGGCTTCTCATTCTGCATTTTCAAGTGTTGCCTCTGAGCCGTGTTGTGTGCATTCATCTCATGCTGCACCACCTGCACGAGCCATTGCTTGCACGTTTGCGGGAAACAACAGCGCCACCTTTTGGCTCAGTTATTATTTACACGTAAAAATACTGTAACCTGTAATTTCCTTAAGTTGTCACAAAGATTGATATCACCCGGCGGTCGTTGTAGCACTGTCTGCCATCAGTTGTTGAAGCTCAGCAGTATGGTAACGAGGGTGATGTGTATGGAATTTTTAAACCTTTTCAAATGTTTTCTCTTTTTTGCTCTGTAGTACATGCCATGAATTATTATCCATCACGTGCCAAACTGACATTTTTTAAGTTGCAGAATTGGACAAAGACTAATTTAGTGTTAATATAGTTTTTTTTTTTATCAGACTAAGGCCATGAATTTGTTACACTTGAGAACTCTGTTTAGTCAATCGTGGCTGAAACCCAAGATTTAAGCCCAGGATTACACCATTGCTCGTTCTTGAGCCATCTGGGCCACTATAATATTTTAAAAACTCTTATTCACTTTTTTCAGCAGACGAAGATGACTTGTCTGAGCATAAATGATGGACGTCTCCATGGGATTATCTGTAAACCATTAATCAAATAACTTTCCGTACTTCCCAGCCACAGCCAGTATGACTGTTCTTTAAATTATTAACCAGAAGCAGTAAATTTCTCAGTCTGTTGTGTAATTATGGAGTTTGGTACGGACCGCCCAAAGGCACAAGCACACACCCCGCTGTATGTATTTCAAAGTGCAGTAGTTTACACTCCGATGGCCTTGATATACAGTACGGGGATACACACGTGCACGTATATATAGGTACAGCTCTTTGTCAATACACTGTTGGATTTCATTGCTGGTCGTGGGCAATATTTGACCGTACTTCCCTTCAATGGTCAGTGTCGATTAGCAGTGAAGGTAAGGGTAGAGATCTGGGAGCAAAGATGTGCAGCACAAGAATGCTGCACTATCCTGCAGATAACCCCGCAGTAGCCAAGCCTTTAGCAACCCGTTTGTGCAAGGTGGTCACCCATCCTGGCACGATACAGGATCAGTCGAGCACAACTTCTCAGATCAAATGAGATTGGATCCATTCTGGCTGAATTGGTGAAAGTCAATTATACACAACAAAGTAGTGATGTGTATAGCATCCTAATTAACAATTATTTCAGGTTGCAGAAGTTTTTTTGTGTTTTGGTTACGATTGATTCATTCGCCCTGGGGGAATGCAGGTTTAAATAAAAAAAGAATTCGATATACATGGGATGAAAATCCAAGGGTTGTGAAGAGACTGACTACAGTTTTTGATCACTGGTGTTGAAATCAATAACGTCGTCTTTGCAGTACAATGGACGAATTACAATATACGAAAACATGTACTCCTATAGAATTATACATTTATTGCACAGCAAGATATTCGACATCATTCGACTGGGCTTGTAAAAATGTTTAGTTTTTAAGACAGTAAAACCTTGGTATGCGAGCATAATTCCTTCCGGAAACGTGCTTGTAATCCAAAGCACTCACATATCAAAGCACTCCTATATGAGTTGTGACAAAGCGTAAACACGTACTACTCGTATTGCAAGACCTCGCTCGTTTATCAAATTAATATTTCTTAAAAAAATTGTCTCGTCTTGCAAAACACTCGCAGAGCAAGTTATTCGCAATCCAAGGTTTTACTGTATTAAGATGAGTGTCATTGCCTCGATTGTCTGGAGTGACCACGCAAAACGTCTACAACATTGACTCTTACACACATGGTGCACGCATCTTGAGCAATCCCTGTTAGTAGATGGGTCCCCCCACACCCATCCCCGTCGTCACATCGACGTGACATGTGGATAAATGTGCAGCATGATCGTGCCTGTGATAACCGCCGACGTTCTTGCCGCACGCGCGCGCCAGGAGGGACAGCGGGCGCAGTACGGGCAGCAGCTGCGCGCCACGCAGACGCCACAGCCGCGGATCAAACTCAAGTTCTTTGGCTATGCGGGCAGCGGCAAGAGCACGCTCATCGAGTCACTCAAGTGTGGCCTCCTGCGGGGGCTGTTCAGGCGGCGGCGGCCTCGACTTGCGTCTGCTGGCTCCTCCATCTCGTCACGCTTCCCCGCCGTGCTCTCCACACACAAGACACCTAGTACGACATCGCCATCGCCGCCACCACTGCCAACACCACCGCCGCCATCGCCCACCACCGCCGCCATCGCCCACCACCACCATCATCGCCACCACCACCGCCTCTACTGCCACCACTGTGTAGGCAGGCAATGCTGTGGGATGTAGAGTTTTCTACGATATAGCGATTCTAAAATATATCGCTACGATATGAGGTCCATGCTGATCGCATTGAAATTACTACCACAAACTTCGTGCGGTGTAAACTGTTGTTGGAGTAATTGATGGGCATGGCTGTTGTGACATCATCATATTTGTGGTTCATTTATTTTTTATAAAGTTTCGCGTAACCTGACAGCACGTGCATTATAAATTATATCAATTGTTAAGTTGTACATCAAGGCACAAAAAAAGTATTAACATGTTAAATACAATTAGAAAGTTATGGAAAACGAATATGACAATCGTCACGTAAAATGTAATATATCATATAATAAAATATAATATGGCAATGCTAGTAGCCCCGTTCACCCTCTGGAAGAGTGAGAGTTGGAGTTCGTAGAGGTTGGGTTGGTCTGTCCAATCAGTCCCACTTTATGTTTGCAGCTACTGTGAGTGTTAATCAGAAGTGACAGGACAATGACATGTTTTATTTAGTTCCGGTGATGAGACGCAGCATGAAAAGCAGCATCGCCATGGTTCTCGTCATGTCGAGAGGCGATGCGCGAGTTCCACGTTTTGAGGACACTGCCGTCTGTTTAATTTAACACCGCTAATTTTACCGTACGTTGGGTATAGGATCAGTTGAGCACAGACTTCATTTTCCATTGGGTCTCGGTTAGTGTTAAGAAACAAGGCAAAGTGTGGCAGGATTATCAGCCTTGCCTTCATGACCCTTTGGTCTTTAGCGCGAGGCTTAAGTTCATAGTGGATAACACCACCCCCTCAAATAGGACTCCCACCTCGGCAACATTTCAAGGCGATATAACATTACGGTGCCATTTCTTAATGAATTTACCACTCCTGTGTGCCCCATCTCTATCCACCCACTCACCTGCTCTTCGTCCCACACAAAGGCTCATCAAGCATCGCCAACCTGTACGCGGGCTGCGAGAACGTGAGCGTGAAGAGTCGCAGCATGATGTTCGAGCCCAGCATGTCCAAGGGCATGCTGGGAGCCCTGGTGTCGCCGTCGCAGACCTCCAGCTTCCCGTTCGACGAGCAGTCGACGCGCGCCATTGAAGTGCAGAACGGCAACGTCAACGGCAAGCCTCAGACCCCCACGTCTGCGTGCGATCCGCCCGCGCTGCTTTCCACAATACAAAAACTCTCTGTGAATTTTACAACCCGTTACTCTCTTTGCTACTTTAATGTTTATGTTTAGCGGTGATATTTACATATAGAGAGCCATAATGTCGGTTCAACTCATGCCCCAGTACGTCTTGATGACTTATGCCAAAGTTTGGACAAAACCAGCTTTTTGTCGGCTGTCATACACAATCTGTGTATTTCCTGCTATAATCTGCGACGTACCATAGACTTCCATTGGAAATTACAACGCTAAGCGCTGGGGTGACAAGCTGCGCTCATGCATCTAAAGCACTTGTTCATGTGTGGTTAACGGGATGATAAGCTCACAATCAATTACACGAGATCATGACCGCGTCAAGCAGCTCACCGCACTTAGCAGCAGAATTAGCGACGGCTTTCACTTAAAGTTTTAAGTTTTGCGCAGCAAAAGTGACTAATCCAATTTACGCCTGTCGTAACGCTTTTCCGCGTGCCACGGTCTCTCCGCGGTTATTATTTTCCAATGCACGCCACGAGGCTTGCATGGGGGGGGGGCGAGGGGGGGGGGTGGCGGTGGTGGCAGAGAACGACGTAGTGCCACTGTGCGAGTGCCGGCAGCTTACCACCGCGCTCCGTCCCTGTCCCGTGATCGTGTACGGCAGGCGTGGGCGACTTGAGCTTGTGGGAGTTCTCCGGAAACCCCGTCTACTTCTGCAGCTACGACCACTTTGCGGGCGATGACACCACGAGTGTGCACGTGGTGATCGTGAACCTTGAGACGTCCTACGAGACGCAGCTCAGCCATCTCGTCTTCTGGCTCAACTTCCTCAAGTCCCTGAGGCCGCTGCAAGAGTCCATCGGTAAGGGCCTTTCGCCGGGTTGCCATAAGAAACAATGTATTGCTCTTGCCACTGCTGGTGGAACGGCCTCGAGACATATTGGAAGAGGTGGGAGCACCCACACTTTACCCCACCACAGATGACCTGCCAATCAACCAGTGTTTTTTTCAGAATTATTTAATTGCAATGCATATATTTTTTTATTATTGTTACCCTTGCGAGAGAACGACAACACTTGCCCCAACCGGGCCTCAATATTCAGGGGACTAATTGGGAGGAACCTTTGCATGCGTGTGCGTTCCACGTGTGCAGCGTATTGTGGGCGCCCCCACACACCACTCAAGGTGGTGCTTGTGGGCACGCACGCCGACCTGGTGAACTGCCCGCGGAGTAACACGGGCGAGTTCGCCTATGGCTCTGGGGTCCATCTGATCAAGGAAGTGCGCAACAGGTGGGTTGGGGGGGGATTCAGGAGCTGGGTGAACGGGGGGGGGGGGGGCACTCTTCTGCTCCTAACTGGGAATATTCATATTCACACACCCATGTGGATTCGTGACCCTGTCTGTCCGAGTGTTGCACAATCCCTCTGCTGATCGCATTGTCTTGAACTCTCTTTGTTATAGTACATAGCACAAAATGTCCATTCGCGGCATTGTGGAAAATATAAATAATGCAATTGAATAAGCAGACAATATATATCCTCTATATATCCGTCTCAAAAATGTGTTTTTTTTACTTCCCATCAATCACAACGTCATCTGGGAGTCCATAATTTCGGCAGCATTAGTTCAATAAAAGCAAACTCTGGTCTCGATTCGACACACAGTGCCTTATCAGCAGTCAGGCTTGACTGATTTCATCTGTGAAATATGCCCCCCTTTCTATATAGCATCTTGAGATGTGGTCACGTTTAGATGCTAAAAAAAACCCTAAAGTATATCGGATAACTTGGGTTTTTCTGATGCTGCGAATTAAATGTTAACTGTAATCTTCTAGTGAATTGAGCGTGATTGACTGTGCGTCCACAGGTTTGGCTATGACCTGGACATCTCAGACCGCCTGTTTGTGCTGGACGCCACAGCCGCACAGTCCAAGGATATGAAGTTACTAAGAAATCACCTGCTGGATTTAAAGAACCAGATCACTGCTGTACGTCTCCTGGTGCTCGGAATCGCCGTAGAATCTGCCTCTCGGTTTAAATGTGAAGCCCCAAGTTCGTACTTTTTTGTGGGCATAATTTTCGTACACTGGCCCATTTTGCTTTTTGAATCATCCTTTTGACATTTTTTGCCAACTATACATTTCGGCAGCTTATTTGAAAATCCCTTAATGTTGTTTAAGCACAATTTTTTTCGAGTTTTCAAACAACACCGGTTGGTAATTTGTAATCGAATAATTCACCAATTCCTTGTTTCAAGTTTACAGCGAACAATTTGTATCATGCTATCTCAACCATTCAGATTACAACTGTCAACACTTCACAAGTATAAATTAGTCATGTAGTTGGGAAAATGTCATTGAGAGACAAGGGTAGACAGAAAATAGACTTGTATTCTAGAAGAATAATGTTATACAAAATAAGGAAGAAAAATCTGACATTTGCATGGATGCTGTTACACTTTCCAACGGAATTATTTAATGAGCAAAAATAAGTTTGCCTTCTAAGCCGCATAAAGAGCTGACATGCGGCATATGGCGTGTAATGGTGGTAGATAACGTCACACGTAATAACGTCATGGGGTGGTGAGACGCATGCATGGCATGTGATATCATTTCTTTAGCTAAAAAGGTTTCTCCATTTAGCTCTGTTTTTTTATAACAACAAATATTGAGCAAACCCTTTTATCAATTTGGCTGGTTTTCTAAAGGCCAAGTTTCTTATTGCAACATAACTTTATAATAACATGTCCGAAATATTGGATCACTGTTATGAGAGTTATCGTGACCCCATGTTACAGACAGACAATTACAGACCGACAGGGACAATGCATTCACACTTTAAAACTTGTTTGGAAAGCATCAATAAAAAATACAATTGAGGAAATGTCCACAGGGCTGTCGCTGACTATGTCCTCTGCCACGGCAGGTGTGCCCCAGCATGCCAGTGTTCTGCGACAAGATTCTGTCGGCGCTGCCCACATGGCGCAAGGCATGCGGCTCCGTGCAGCTCACTTCGTGGCAGAGCTTCGTGGCCGACGTGCGCGACCAGATCAACCCCCTTGCAAGCGAAGACGGTGTCCGTGCGGCCGCACAGCAGCTGCACAGCATGGGCGAGGTGAGGGGGGTCCCTGCGCCCAATCCCATGCACCCAAGGAAGTGACGTTAGCGTGCTTAGCTTGAGCAATGGGGCAAGGAACCGTGTGGGACCTCTGTCCTTGCTTTTTCAGAGCCTGGCATCTAGTCCCCTCTGGCCTTTGATCTCCACTCCAGTTGCCTTACCTGCACACTTCATAGTTTTGCCATTGCCCCCCCCCCCCCCCCCCCAATGGCTTGTGTCACCTGCCTCATGCCATGTTGTTCACTTCTGACTACACAGCGCACACGGAACTGTTCACCGTAAGGTGCAGTTGTTCTTTTTTGAGGCCGAGTCAAGCGGAGTGGCGTTTGTCGCATCCCCTTTCCCGGGTAGATCCACGTATTTCAGAGCGAGACGGTGCAGGACGTGGTGCTGCTGGACCCACGCTGGTTCGGCTCGGCCGTCCTCGGCCGTCTCCTCTCGCCGAGCGACGGCTCGGGGCCCGGTGGAGGCGGCGGAGGGGGCGGTGGCGGCACCGGGAGCCTGGCCGGGCGCGCCCTGCACCACTACCGCGGGCGCTACGCCACAGACGAGCTGCAGGCCTTGCTGGGCGAAGCGGAGGCTGAGACGGACGAGCTACTGCAGCTTCTGGAGGCCATGGACGTCTGCGCACGCGATCCCGACTCGGGCATCGCCGGCATGGTCACCATCCCCGCGCTCATCGTGCAGGTCGGGCCAGTTCTGTAGCGGTGTTTAAAAATATTGCGTAAAAGAGCCAACAATTTGCTTTGCATTTCAACGTTCCTGTTTGTTGAAAAACCAAATCCATTGCCATATTTGCCACGGGACAACTTGATTATTTTGGCTTTGGCATGTGGAGGCTTTTGGCCTACATGATCGAACACAAAAGGAAGTAATCATGAATCTATAACTCTGGTTGTGAATGCCTACTTTCCATTTTTTTCAAATTTATTCATAATGAAAGTGTAAAGTTCTCATTCTGTTGTTTAGTCATGATATACTTACATAGTTTATTCCACTCTTAATTACATAGCTACTCCGTATCTAATAGAATAGCAGTGATATGGCCATATAAACAAGGCATCGAATTTAACTAAATTTTTGTTTGCATGCAATTAAAACGTGACGCAACAGCAGAACACCTAAATCTAGCATGGGACAGCCCTATTCTGAGATGCAACTGCACTTCTCTTTGTGACGTACGCGCATGTGTGTGTGTGTGATCATGCGACGACCCCGGTCCCAGGCGTCGGACAGCCTGCACCGGCGCTGGGAGGATGAGCACGAAAGCGCCGTCTTTGGCGGCGTGCGCATCCAGGCGTCGGAGCACACCGCCCCCTTCCCCGCCGGCCTCTTTCACAAACTGCAGACTGGCCTCTGCCGCTGCTTCCCACAAGCCTCCTCCCCAAAGAGCGGTGGCGGTGACGGCAAGAGGGCGGTTGCATCCAACGGCGGCGCTGTACCCCCCAACTCGGAACCCGAGGCCGAGCTGCGGCTGTGGGCCGGCGGGGCCCGCATCACGGGAAGGTCGGCCGAGGCCATCGTCTTCCTGGCCGTCAACGGGCAGGCGGTGGAGATCCGAGTGCGCGGTTCGGAGTCGAACCGCGCCAGTTGCTACGAGCTCCTGGAGGGCGTGTGCAGCACGGCCGAGAGCCTCATCGCGGGCACGCTGCCAGGCCTGTCCATTACGCGCCACTACCTGAGCCCCCAGCAACTGAAAGAGCGCGTGGAGCCCGTCATGGCGTACCAGCCACGCGACTTCCACCGTGCGCGGTCTCAGGGCGAGCCGTGGCTCAGCAACCCGTTTGGCGAGTACCGCGAGGATTTCCCCAGCCTGCTGTGCTTCGGCTGCCCCAAGCTGTACGCGCGCGGCAGCTTTGGCCTCGACCAGCCCGTGTCGGAGCTCAACCCGCACGCCCGACGGCGCCTCGCCCGGCTGCTGGACCCGCAAGACCCAATGGGCAAGGACTGGTGCCTGTTGGCGATGAAACTGGGGCTCGATGAGCTGCTGCCCACGTTGGAGTCGCGCGATGGGAAGAGCGCCACTGAGAGCCCCACGGACCGCGTGCTGCGGCACTGGGTGAGTGCCGAGCGAGCGGCCGCAACAGCGGCCGCGGCGGCGGCGGCGACGTCGAATGGGAACCACGACTCTTCTCCGCCGCCAACGACCACAACGCAACAACCGCTGCCCCAGGCGGGGGCCGGGGTGGCCACGGTGGGCACCCTCGTGAGTAAACTGCGTGACCTGGGGCGGCGCGACGCCGCCGACCTCCTCGTAAGGCTCACGGCCGTGTTCCGCATAAACCCCGACGGCACCGTGACCGGACAGGACTCTCCTGCTGCCTCCAGCAACACCGGCACCTCCTACAACTCTCTGTACTCATCCCTCTCCAGATGACCGGACAGATCGCTCACTTGGGCGGAACGCTGTTTTCATTCTTCCCATCACACGCGGGGGGGGGGGGGGGTCCAAGCATTTTTGCCTGCAATACTCTTTGTATGAGGAAGCGACGCAGCTGTGGACGATGCTCACGAGTGAAGCAGGACGTTTTTTTGTGCATGCATTTGCCATTTGACTGTGTGCAGATGGTTATTAAGTGTAGTAAAACATCATAATCAAATGGGTAAGGGGCTGCTTTGTTGTGTTTAAAAGTGGCTCCATGGTGCTCTTGGCAACGGCCAGGGAAGTAATTGCATTAACTTGGCTGCTCACCCTGACATGTTCCTTTAGCAGGAGCTTCATATTGGGTCATTCATAGTCAAGATACGGCATTTATAAACAGCCAATGAGTCGTGTTAGAGTAAACACTCATACTCTTGTTTCCTACAAGTTATCCAAAAGTAATATTGCATTGTGTCCAATTAATACTTTTATATGTGTATACTTTTTTACCCTTCTCCAACTGGCTGCCTAAAGCATTTATAGTGAACTGCTTTGGACTAATAACACTGCTTGTGTATACACAGTACATATGAATATGCACCATTTTTAGCTTTTCACAAAACAATACTTTAGGTCTATTTAATGCTGTTTTAATCCGTAAAGCCACAGTGGATAGGTGCACACTTGGCTTGCATTAATGTTATCAAGTGTTCTGCAAAAAAGGTTTTCCTAGAGGGTGTCCAGGCCTCGTGTGTCGTGCGCACGACACCTGTCCAAAGGCTACTCATGGCCGCCTCACTCTCCTGCTCCGCCCGTCACCCACAGCAGGGGCGTCACGTTGTCGCCGCACATCTCGCGATCAACTGAAGCGCCCCATCGCAATAGAGGAGATGGAGTGGTGGAGAGCGGCACGCACCGATGAATCGGTTGGGTCGTGCACGCGGTCGTGTCGCTGGGCACGGCGGTGATGGTCATGCTCTACCTGTAAAGCCATAGCTCTGTTCTCGGCGGAGTTACAGACACTTTCGTTTTAAGAAAAGTGCTCCTTGTGGACCACCGGCGTGGCTCTAATTTATTAACGGGTCGCAGGGTAACCCCCGTGCCCTCTCGTTGCCGATGAGTTTGTAATGCTTGTTTTCTCTTCCCCCGTTTTCATAAAAATCTATAGTGCCTTCGTCTTTTATTGAAAAGGGAACAATTTATAATAAAGAAGAGCTCAGCTACCTCTGTATTGCCATAACAGTGTATGCAGCATGGGAATACGGTGCATGCTTGAAGATCTGATGTGTTTTAAGTGTAAAAAAAAATGAAAGCATGCTGTACATAAGCGAAGGGTCTTCCTGTATGGAATCATGCATATACAAGGTGTAATCAAAATGAGGTCGCGGTGGAAAATGGAATTGATATGTTAATGCATTCAGTGACGTCAGGCTGGCGAGTTATGGATTGTAATGTGTTCTGTTGGCAGCTGTTGTGATGTAAACAAAGGTGTCAAGTTGAATTTGTTAGCAATTTTTTTCAAAAGTGTAATTTAATTGTATTCTTGGTCCATATCCCATGATGTCTGTTACAGTTTAACCAGAGCGCAGCAATAAAATCTGGTTCCCAAAAATACAAATACTTGTCATGATTGTTTTGTCCCAATTCTTGTATGGTTTTATTGAGCATAATCACTCAACGGCGTGGTTGGAATAGGCCCTGGCACAAGGAACGCAATGGGCCAGTATTCCCCGTGTGGTACTCGGCGTAATATTTATGGCCAATTGGGTCGGTCGCTGCAGTGCCCACAAGTAACCCACTTGCAGATGATGCTTGTGAGTGCACCCGTTGTGTTTATTCCCCCAATCAGTCTAATAAAAGCAATACTTGTGTAGTGTCGTAGGTCTCTTCTTCCTTCTGCTCGAGGCGTGTGTGCGGGTATCGTGCATCGCACACTCAGTTGGAGACGAGATAGTCGCAGGAAGCACCGTCCTCCCATTTTATTGTTGTGTTCACGCCACCAACTCCGGCCTCCTCTCTCACGGCCCGCGTTGCACCGACGGCGTCGACCGAGACGGCCAACCACTGTCCGGCCGCGCAATCATCGGGCGAAGGCGGCGATAACGACAGCGACGACGAGACGAGTCCACTCCCATAACCGACAGCCTGGAGCTCTCGCTCTCCGCTGCTTTTATTCCCTTCGGCGGGGCTTGGCTCCCCACCAGAAGGTTCCAGAGGCCTCCCCACGAGGTCTACCGTGACCGTTGCCCCAGTTCCTCCGCCCTGCCGGCACACACACCGTGTATATACTCAACGTTGTGTGCGCTCAGTGTCTACCTGCAGTTGCAGCTGCTGTACAACAGTCAGCGCTATGTCATTACATGTAATAAGCCAAATTGCATGTGGAAACTTAACAGCTCTCCAGCTATTTTCCAAGTACAGTAAGGAGTGAAGAGTTTGATCACAGGAAAAAAGGCTGTTTTCAGTATTGTGTCATGAAAATGAAGTTTTTTTTGGTGTAATCACAGCCTCCGATTATCACGGTTGGCTATGTACGGTGCAAAAGAAGTTCAACATATCGGCAGGTCATGGGATTCTCTTGATCACTACAACTTGACGGGTAGATTTGTATATATTTTTTATCACAAGTTGCGGAGCCCAGCAACAAAGAGCACTATTGTAGAAATAATAGACGAGGTTATAGATTACGTTTTAATAGAACTTACAAATGCAAATTCTTGGTTTGCAGCAATCGAATGGCAAGAGTTTGAATTTGTCCAGCTGGAGCGATGCCGCCACCAGCCCCCAGCGGAGGGCGCTGTGAGCCACAGCCGCACTCGTCACAAGCCGTGACGACGGGTGGGAGGCAGAGGTCGCAAACGGGCTTTGATTCCTTACCCGTACCCGGCCGCACCAGGGTCGCAAACGGATACCCGTACCCGGCCGTACCCGTACCCGGCCGCACCAGGGTCGGAAACGGCTACCCGATTCTAGATTCGAAGCTTTCGTGACTGCAAGGATTCATATTCTTAGGTTTTTTCGGTAAAGTCACGTAGGTAAAACATCAAAATTAATAAAAATAAAATAAAAATAAAATCACGACGTTTCGGAGGCAATTAATTTTGATGTTTTACCTACGTGACTTTACCGAAAAAACCTAAGAATATGGGTACCCGATTGCGACCTCTGGGATGAAGCCATGTTGCAGGCGCGGGTGGGTTGATTCTAGGAACTTGAATTGTGAGAAGAGACAAGACGTTGGGAAATGAGTGACAAATGGTTACTCACCAGAGACTCACGGTCTACCCGTACCCGGCCGCACCAGGGTCGCAAACGGGTACCCGGCCGGGTACGGGTATCGGGTACCCGATTGCGACCTCTGGTGGGAGGGGGGGGCATTGCAGACAATTATGAATAATTTATAATAAAATAGGAAATAATCAAAAGGCACAAGGCTGTTGTTTCTGGGTCAACACGCAACAAATGTTAAACTTGCGTCTATTTTCCACAGATAGAATTTTAACTATCTGCAGTATGTACTATATACACACGCATTTATGTTGAACTTCTTTTGCACCGTACGTAGCCACCGACGGTTGGAGAGGGCCCAGGTTTTTGTTCATCAAAGAGCTTAAAACGAAACGTTTGACCTTCCTTTAATTGTGAAAACATCAAAAAGGAATACATCGACGTAGTCAGACATTGACCATAATAGAGGTTTTTGGGTTAGATTGCGTAAATGTGTCGTTAAACCCGCCACCACCCGACACAGCCAACTAGTAAGGTTTGTCACGTAAACAAAACATGCCAATTCGTGACGAGTGCAGCACACCGGTGTGTTGGAGAGTAAACCCACAACACATTTACAGTTCGAGTACGTTTCGCCAGTAATTACGTCCAGCATCATCAACCAACAGCCAGATTAGTCATCTACCTCTGGCACGCTCTCTAATTAATCCACGTGTTTCCCACCTTTGTGTCTCAATGTAATTACAAGCATGCATCTCTTCACGCTTCTTTGCTCACTTTTCAGTTAATGTTCTAGAAATGTTTTAATCAATGGCCACTGTGTTTCTGAATCAGCCTTGGCAGGTAGCAATACCCACCGAGTTAGCATTGTCTCCTTTGGGCACATTGATATGGTCCTATTCATTTGAGTAATTAACATTGTATCGCTGCGGTCACAAATACTGCTACGGCCAAACCACCCGGCATGCTCTGGTGAGGTGAGTAGCGGTGAGACTGTGTCGTGCGAGATGGAGCGATTTAATCCGTTCAGCAGCTGTGGGAGCATTTAGTAGATGGCATGCTCGTGAGAGGTGGTGGGCTGCTGGGGGATGCCTTCTTAAATATCTTTACTTTTTTGTAATAAAAAAATACTTTACATATACTCTTTGGTTCTTTCGGTAAAGTCACGTAGAAAGAAAAAATAATCAATTAAATCACACTTTAAATAAAAAAAATCTTTAAATATTTCCACACAAACCCACCATTACTGCTGAAAATACCGTACAACAAAGTCACTAACGATAGGGTACAATAAAGATTTGACAATCGTATCGAAGGGCTCGGTCCATCCCCTGCCCAACGCCGCAGAATTCCCCTCGGGGAGAAGAGGCGCGCGTCTCTGCGGAGGGTTGTTCACATTTCGCCACGAAGTTCAGCGCCACCGAGATTCAACTCCCGGATCTCGCCATGGCCACGTTCTTCGTCTCCACTGTCACGGCAGCTCCGGTTCAAAACCAGCATTATACTTGCTTATTTTTTAAAAGCTTTTTTTGCAAATGAAAGAAATCAGAAGTATTAAGAGGAAGGGGTCACGTTTTTATGCCTCTTCTTTAACTTATAAATTTGAAACGGCAATATTAAGACAGGGCGAGCATTTAATAACCAGGGCATGAAGGGCATTCACCACGGCTGTTTAGTGCAGTGGTCACGTTGGCTGTGTTTGTAGCAGCTACGCTGGGTTCAAATCCCACAAATAGATTTTTGCATATTCTTAGGTTTTTTCGGTAAAGTCACGTAGGTAAAAAATTAAATTAATAAAAATAAAAAATCACGACGTTTCGGAGGCAACACAAGCTTCCGTCTTCAGGTGGAACCGTCACAGCACGATAGCTGTATCACCGAAAAAAACCTAAGAATATAAATCCTTGCAGTCACGAAAGCTTCAAATCTAGAATATTTTTGCATATTCATTTTCAAACCAACTTGAACGGCCACGTGAGGGCAGTGCAGACTCTACACCACGCAGAGCCGCCCAAGTCTGTGTGGAAACATGGTGGCTCAGAGGGTTGAGAGGTAACTCCTGAATGGACCTCGATCTGTGACAAGGTTCGAATCCTGGCAACAGCAAGTGAATAAATAAAAACTGGACGTGTGGTTAAAGCAAGAATCCAGGGTGACTGAGAATTTTGGTTGTAAAGATAGAAATACATGGAGGGAACTTGTGGAGATACCTAAAACATAGAATGGGCCCCTGTGTAAGCAACATTGAGGATGGAACTGTGGAGATGACTGAACAAGGAAGGACCAAAGCTGAGTGATTTGAAGAGACAAGGAAGACATGAAACAAAAAATGAGGGGAAGACATTCTTTACCGAAATTCCAAACCACGAGGGGGAGCACTCTCTCTGGAACCCACGATTAAAGCGACTTTTTTCCAGCAATAAGAAACCAAAACGTGACGTGAAAACAGCAAAAACAATAGCATCCAGGCCAGGAGGGCACTTTATCTTTTGAAACATTTTTGAAACCACGCTTTTTGGGTGAAAACCCTATTTTGGAGAAAAAAAACTAATTTAAGGGTAATAAACAGACTAAAATGGGACAGACTAATACAAATGTAGTGAGTTCAACTGAGTCGCAGACGTACTCCTTGGAGGCAACACATTGATACCAACACAAAGGGGTAACTGCCCCTTCACCAGATAACAACCTATGCTGGTAGACCGCCAGGCGGATACGGAGTGATTGAAGGAGATGGAGGATGTGCGAGAGGGTAAGACTCGAGCCAGGAGAGGGGAGTGCCAAAGATGCTGAGGTTGTTAGAGAGTGGAAACAAGAGTTACTTTATATAATTAAAAATGCTAAATCTTTACAAATCACACATGTCATTTATATTTGCTTCACCTGTAGTAAATAAAGTACACGATGCAATGATTGTATCACTGTTTTATTATTTACTTCGCAATAGCATAGGCAGAGCGTGTATATAAGAGTTAAAACACTTTACAATGAACAGAATGAAATTTAATTAAACTGAATTTGCCTCAATAACTTATGCCACTCTGTGCTTGCGCTATACTTTAAAATCATTGGATCTCACCACAGGAAAAACAGCCCACACTATATTTGCTCAGTCTATTAAATACAATGTGCGTTAAACAGTTTAAACCTAAAAAGTTTGAACAAAATTACATAAAAATAAACCTGGTACAATGTATGCACACATAAGTCTGTGCTTATTGTCTGCTTATGGACCGTACAAATGTCAAAACGGAGCAAACACAGAAATGTGCACAAAAGTATGGTGATGCATGCTGCGACAAATAGAGGAATGCATGGATGAGAGAAGACAAATGATCGACATGATTCCGAAGAAAACCAAGTGGACTTGGGCAGGACAGAAAGAATGCGTGACATCGTCTCACGTGCAGCTGCATGGCACAGCAGGCCTGTGGAAGATGGTGATGGAATGAAGACACTTTGATCCAGCAGTGGATTGATCATGGCTGTCGATGACGACTATTTCTGTACAAAAAAGAGAAACTAAGGCAAAAAATATTCACAACGACCTTAACGGGCCAACACCTGAGTGAACATGAAATATTGCAAAAGGGCCCACATCCTTGTAATTATAAAACACAAGACATTGTTATAAAATAAGTCACCTTTAAATACATCACACGTTTATTACATGAAGCTGTATAAAAACACTTTTCTTAATTCCTCGAAGTAACATGCTTGCGGGGCTGTCGCCGGTCACAATTCATCACAGCTTGCGGTGAGAAGAGACGGCTTCCCGTGGGGTCATGGCCCCACTCGCCAGGGCCTCCCTGAGCTGTGGCCGGTGGCTCACGGCCAGGGCTATGGTCCGCACAGTGCGGCGGTAAGAAGAAGAGGAGAAGGAGGGGGAGGACCCTCCCAGCTGACAAAACACCTGCTGCTCCAGCTTCACAGCCACGGGAGAGAGATCGCTGCCGGCGTCCGACGAGTCTGGCTCAATTCCGCTCCGCGTCTTGGGAGAGCTGGGCCCCACGTCTCCTTGGGCATTCACGGAACGCAACTCCACCTCGCCTCGTGTGTTCATGGCGTGTGACCCATCCTTCCGTTGCCTCTTCACGGAGCTTGGCTTCGTGTCCTCTTGGCTCTTCATGGAGTCTGACCGCACCACCTTCTCACGGAGTCTCACCTCATCGCTTTTCTCAGCCAAGGCTCGGGCCAGCATTGCCCGGGCTGTGTCCCGCAGCTGAGTGATGATACCTCGCCCGGAGCCAGAATACGAGGGGGTCGATGATGACGATGATGACGATGAGGAGGAGGAGGCGCTTGACGAGGATGTTGAACTCTTGCGACGTGGCCCACCGGTTACCATCACGGGCCGCAAGGGCCCCAACGAGTCCCTGGCCTCGTAGAAGCCTCGCCAGCGTCCGTACATCTCGGCGGCCAGGGCCGCCACCGCGGGGTCGCCCCCGCGTCGACGCCGCAGCCTCCGAACGGCGCGGCCCAGCCCGGTGGAGACGAGGAGCTCCCGGGACGGCACCTTGTGCCGCAGCGCGGACAGAGCCTCCGCCAGGCGACGCTCGCCATCCTCCTCCTTCTCTTCACTCCTCCTGCACTCCTCCGCCTCTCGCGTTTCGTCAACAGAATCAGAGTCCATCGTCCTGCGCTCACGCTCCTCCGTGCCCACCGGCCTCGCGTCCATCCCCGCATCGCGCTCCCTGCGCGCCCCTCCGCCCGTCTCCTCCTCGTCCACCCCGGCGGCCGCGAGCGCGTCCAGGAGGCGCTCCACGTCCACGAGGGACACGACGCGGCGCAGCGAGCCGAGGGTCGCCTGCCGCAGGGGGCCTCCCCGGGCCCGGGAGCCGGGGAGGCCCTCGCCGCCGGGGTTCTCCCTGGGCGTGCGGATCACGAAGCGGTCCATTGGCTGTGGCGTCGCGTCAAGAGGAAAAACTTACAATTAGTTCATGCCACCACCACCACCAATTAGTTCATCCCACCACTACCCCCAATTCATTCATTCATTCCACCACTACCCCCAATTCATTCCACCACCACCATCCCCAATTAGTTCATTCCACCACCACCACCAATTCATTCATTCCACCACCAATTGTATTCATTCGTCCACTCAATTAGGTCGGTCGGTGTGTGCGTACGCGTGCACGATGAACACACAGCGATTCATTCACGGCCGTCGATGTTCTCAGTCCTCTAGTTCGTGTTAATCATTAATTCATTCACTCGTTTACTCCGGTCTGTCAAAAGATTCCGCTTCCGCTAAAATTCATTCTCTCACGCAAACGACTGCAGTCACGACACCACGGTACAGTAAGGCTCCCACCCCGCCACTGTGATTAATTCATCGCATTCACTTACATTAATTTCATTCACTAACTCATCACATTCACTAACTCAATCATCTCATTCACTAACTCATTCACTTACATACATCTCATTCACTAATACAATCATCACATTCACTAACTCAAGCATCTCATTCACTAACTCATTCACTTACATACATCTCATTCACTAATACAATCATCACATTCACTAACTCAATCATCTCATTCACTAACTCATTCACTTACATACATCTCATTCACTAACTCATTCACTAATACATTCATCTCATTCACTAACCCAACCACTCCGCTCCGTCCGTTCATCGCGTCCAACAATTTAACGAATTCGCTTTCTCAAACATCAACTTGCACTCGTCCCTCATTCGCTCGCTCACTCGCTAATCGCAAACTCTTAAATTGGCCAATTAACTCATTCCAATCTTGTTTTCGTTCATTCGTTCCGTCCACTCACTCGGAGCCGCGCCAACGTCCCAGGCCGCGCCGCGGAATCGACTTCGCGAATTCGGCGACCCGGGAATCGATTCCCAGTGGCCGGGCGCATCGATTCCCTCGCGCGTTATTTGCGGCGGCAATTTCGATTATTTAACGATTTCTGCCAATTTCCTGCAAAGTTTGCATGCAGGACGGTGCCGCGAATGGGGATAGGCGAAATGACACCGAACAATACGAACGAGACATGAATACGGACACGACATGAAGCGATTGTATCGATGGAATCGAGACCGTAAAACTACCAGAATCAGTTCACGATACTCGCGGATCGATTCCAGTGAGTGTGGCCGATTCCAGAATCGATTCCGAAACATTCATTTCAGTAGAACTCCGATAATCCGCGATCCAAATCTTGACTTGAAGCTTTCGTGACTGCAGGAATTAATATTCTTGGATCTTTCGGTAAAGTCACGTAGATAGGTTGAAAAAAATAACAAAAATAATACAAATTTGTTATAAAAAATTTCATTTTTGTTATAATGTTATTTTTGTTATTTTCTTTGAACCTATCTACGTGACTTTACCGAAAGACCCAAGAATATGAATCTGCGATCCTATTATTCGCGGTTCCGATTTTCCGCAAGAGCTTTGTTTATCCACGCCACCGATTCTTCATCTGATCCGTGGATATTCCCCGTTGTGCATGCCCCGTAATGCGTCAATGATCTTCTTCCACCTCTACTTCTGCCTTCATCTTCATCATCTCTTCAAGTTCATTTATTATGTCAAGTTCATTTATTAGGTAGAGCCCTGTGAGCCATTCGGCTCTTGAATCGGGTGCAACCGCAACAAACAAAAACATCTTAAAGTGAATATGTGACTAAGTGCAAACAAAAAATCCAAGAAAAGACAGCAAAATATTGCAGAAAAAAACACTTGCCACCTTCAGACCCACATAATTTCCCTGTTGTCTCTGGAGTGACTCATGATCAGCCAGCTATGGCTGCAGAGTTTGGTAGTACATGTTGTTTGCGTCGTTTATTGTGACAATTCGGTCACGGTTCCTATGATCACTGTTTCATTGCTTTTATGGCTTTATTTTGGTGATTTTTGAAAAGTTTTTTGGTTTGGCCATGTTTGCTTGTTGTATTACAGTTAGACTGATGGCCTTAATCTAAGTTGTCTTGTGGTTGTTGTTGTTGTTTGACTTGCATCCCACTGGGATTTTTGCACACAGCGTTGGTGTACGATGCTTTTTCTGTAATATTTTGCTGTCTTTTCTTGGATTTTCTGTTTGCACATAGTCACTTTAAGATGTTTTCTTGTTCATGTGTTTGTTTTTTTGTTTGTTGCGGTTGCACCTGATTCAAGAGCCGAATGGCTCACAGGGCTATACCTAATTAAAAACACGACCTAACCACACCAGAGCCCTCTCTCTCATCTTCTCTGTGATGTCTACCACCTTGAGTCTTCCTCTCACTTTTTCATTCCTCACCCCTTATCCTTCATTATTAAACCCAACATCCACCGCAACATCCTCGTCTCTGTGACTGCCATAGCTTGGGCAGCCCTCTTTCTTGTGCCCCATACAACAGCACCAGCCTCACCGCCGTCTTGTACTATACACTACACTATACTCTACACTACACTATACACTAGTTTCCCTTCAACCAAACTGGGACCCTCTTATAAACACACCGCACGGGTCATCTCTCGCCATTTCAGCCATCCAGCCCCTGTTCTTGTTCTCGTCTTTCCTTCCAGTGACCCCCCCGGCCCCCGGCACTCACCGCTGCACCCAGGCACTTAAACCCGTTCCCTCTTCTTCTCGTACACCACGAGATGAGTTTAACGCGTAAGCTTTTGCGATCAATAAACACATTCCTCCTGCGGAGGGAGCTGGTAGGAACGTTGGGTTGCTCGGTCAATGGCCTGCAGGGTCAACGGCGGCGTGGTGTATTCCGCAAATATGCCCGACTGTGAGGGCGGGCACAAGCCGGCGTGAGTAGGTTAAACGTTGAGTTTTACTGGTAGGAACGAAGTGGACCAGACACCAATAGATTAATGTGTCCGTCCGTCCGTGTAGCAACATCGCCCCCTACTGCAAACACTTGGCAGGACCCTACAAAAACCTTTAGACTCAGTGGGGCTTTCCTGGCTTAACAAGTGTAATACTACATTATGTTTATATTCTTTGGTTATTCGTTCATACCAGCCCACCCCGCAGGGTCCTGTTATAAGGGCACCACGGGGTGACTAGCCCCTCCCCACCCAGCCCCACCCAGCCCCACCCTCCCCACCCAGCCCCTCCCCTCAAACATGAGGTAGTGCCAATATCAGAATCTTTAGACTGGAGGAAGCTGATGAGCTATGAAGCTTATTTTCGCAGACGTCCAGAATGGGTGGGTCAGCAAGTTCAAACAGCAAACGATGCAAAAAACGATAGGAGTGCAAAATAGAGAAAACGTGTAACTGCTCTGGCCCACAAGCTAGCCTTTGAAACTTCTACTGTAGAAGGGAAATGATAAAATTACATTTAATGAATTTATCACGTTTCGGCCACAACACAAGCAGCCGTCCCGTGTTGTGGCCGAAACGTCGTGAGAATTTTATTTTTATTATTTCCCTTCTACATGACTTTACCGAAAGAACTAAGAAGATGAATCCCTGCAGTCACGAAAGCTTTAAATCTAAATCTACCGTAGACTCGCACCCTATGGTGCGTGTGTCGTGTGGATATTTTGCGAAGTAAATATCAAAACACCAAGTCATCGTATTCGGTCATTTATTTTGTGCAGCCGCAGAAAAAAAAAATTCCAACTCCGCTATGAAAAATTATACACAATGTACATGCTGACAGATTGCAAAAATGGTAGGAATTACAAAGCTTTTTTTATAAATAATTTATGACAGTAAATAAAGTTACGTGCAACAATTTATTTTTGGATTGAGAAGTAATATTTAATTTATACTTCAAGTAATTTCTAGTATTCACTTCTGTACTGAAAATTTGCATCGCACTTAAGTGGTGATGAGGATGAACAAGCGAGCTGACCAAAAAGCTTCTATTTAAATCACTTGCACCGACGTTAGCGATTCATTAAACCCGTCTTCCACACCACACCACAGCCTGGCTCGCGTGAACACAACTCAGCAAGCGAGAACTCAATGTACGAACTTCATTACAGACGCACGTTCTAATTAACCATGAGCTAATGTTGCACTTTGTGGGCTACAGGATGGAGTTTAAGAAACAGACCTACAAAAACTATAACTGATATTTGATTCAGGACGATTTACAAAATCGGCAAACCGCATTAGCGCGCACACACACACACACAAACACGTCAAAAGGCGATGCTTTCTACACAACATTGCGTGCCGCCAGTGAATAGGACAGAACGGCAAAATTACTGTGCGAGTGGACATTGCTGCGGCGGTGTCAACAAAAAGTACCCGGACCGACCCCGTTGTCAGCTCTTTGTACATGGGCAGTAGCCGCCACTGTACACTGGCACGACAATTCGAGATGCCTGCATGTTTCTTGTGCCGGAGGGTTGGTCACGAATAGTTGGTATGGGTGTCGTGACGCCGAAGGAACTTTGAAAAAAAAGATACCTTGGGTTTCAAAGTGAACCCACCCATCAGGATGGAGCAGGTGCTGTTAACAGGATTGTCAAAGGTCACAGGCCCAAAAAATAACAAATCACAAGAAATCGCATGACACACTGTGGGTGTTCTACACATTCAAGCCACGCACTTTTAATTTTTAACCAAGAATAATTTACACGAGCAAAACAGTGGCCGCTTTCGAATGCAGGCAAATCGACCGGGGACCTCTCATTCCTGCCTCATGAGCCCACGTGTGAAACAAGTGGTCGTGTCACAAGCAGCAGTTTGCCAATTCTCTCCAACTGCACAAAAACACACGGCTTACCTGTGTGCCAAGTTTTTTTTACAATATATGCAGTCAAATGAGAATTGAAATCATAGTACCTGGCAATTTTTTTTTTCTACAAAAGTTAAGATTTTTTTTGTGCCCTCCTTAGGGCTAAATGATGATTGGAAGGCAAGCAGATGGAGATTAAAAGACAAAAATCTCTTCACATTAAACATAAATGTGCCCCATGTGCCACTAACCATTATCATCATTATAGCCAAATTATCTGCTGGATACCACCAGGGCATTTACTGGACAGGATTCAATAACCCAAGAGAAGACACTGCTACCACAACTGTTTTGCCCATCCTTTTTACAGCCCTCCAAACATTACCTGGTCTCTATACAATACCCGTTACCCAGGTGTAATGTTAGGAGGGTCCACGGCAGATGGCGCATAACAGAGAGCTGCGACACCAAAGCATCATGATCACGATGACGAGCGGCTGCAGAGTTTTGAATCGTCACATTCTGTTTTTTTCTTTTCCATCACCCACTTGACTACGGTTACAAGGCTGCGACGTTCACAAAAACAATGCACATATAACATTTGGGCGATTCTTTTGAAATTGAGTTGCTCATAAATTCACTGCAATATTCAGTCTCACAAGTACACACAAAAGACTTGGCCCAACCCTCCCCCACCCAATAAACCAAACAACTCTTGTTTTAATGGACCACAGGGGTGTGCTGTTGTGCGTCAGCAGCAGCAGCAGCACCAGCAGCAGTTCTGCATCTCACTGGGCCGGTAAGGGGGCATCGGGAGTTGTCGGCGACACTGCGTCTTCGTACAGCCTCTCAATGAGTTCCTGGTACATCTTGGTCACGACTGGCCTCTTGAGCTTCATTGTGGGACCTGAAATACAGTAACAGATGCTTCAATTCATTGGACAACAACAACTCGCTCGAGTGACAACTCACGTTGACTCAGGGTGCATCTGCCCAACCTCAACTGCCTCCTGCCGAGAGTACCTCACCCCGAAAACACGACCCCTCATTTAAAAAAAAAAAAAATCTCAAAACACCATGGTTAATATTGCCGGTGCTCATGTGTACAAGTGCTTTTGCCTATCCACTGCTGGACGAAGGCCTGCAAATGCTGGTCCGTACACATTT